TTCATAAAAATTCGATAAAAGTTAACTAAGTTTTTCACATTAGTAATGCATTATTAGTTCATATAATGAATTAATATCAATTTAATATATAAATTTAATTTGAATGAAATTTGTTGATGTAATTTATCTATTTATATTCTTACATATAATATATAAGAGAACATTTGGCGCTATCTATCTTAGTTCAGACTTATATGTATCTTCATATGTATCCTCAGAAGAATCTTTACATTAAGTGACATACCTTCATACCTTTTTAAAATATTAAAATTAACCATCTAGGACAATCTTTGACTATACACATTCTAAATGAGATGTCGACGGAGTTCAGTATTTCTCTGATCTGGGTTCCCGATCATAAGGATATTTTCGACAATTGCAAACCAGACGAGTGCTTCAGAAAACCACTCGGAACACCTAAACAATCTGGACATATCGTTGACATTATGCAAACTGGCATTCAGTGCCAGTTCTTTCTGTGCCGAACTTTTTAATAAAAGACGGGAAGACAATGATATGCAGGTATCTGTAAGCAATTTGACCATGCTTCAATAAAAGAAAATCAAACTCTATCATTGAGATGTCCCGTAGAGATATCAGAAGTGTAGTTGGTTTGCTTACAGATCACTGTATTTTAGGTAACCAACGATATGCAGACATCTGTAAGCAATTTGACCATACTTCAATAAAAGAAAATTAAATTCTGTCATTGAGATGTCCCATAGAGATATCAGTAGTGTAGTAGGTTTGCTTACAGATCACTGTATTTTAGGTAACCATGACAGAAAACTAAATCTCCCTTTCAATCATACCCACCGCAGTTGTAGTAAGAACGATTAAAGTGCCTCCCATCTGCTTTGTTTCTGTCCAGCACTTTAGGGGCTTTCTTTTCTGAGAATCTTGGCGAACTGCAAGACCTCCCTCTGAATAGCATTATAAACTTTACCCACGGTTCTAAGTGGTTCGGTTAGAACCACTTGAATAATACTGTAACATAATGGGCCTAAAGGCCTAAGTGGATTCCTTGAGATAGCCCGTAGAACCTAAACTAACCTAACTACCTCTAGTATCAAATAAAATCAAAATTTTTTTTTCACTAAAAGATTTTTAAAATAAACCAAAGATGAGGAAAAACTAACTAAATGTGATGAGAAGTAAATTTATTTTTTATTAATTAAAATAAATTAATTTCTTATCTTAATCTTAAATTAAGATTAAATTAATCTTATTAATTTCTTATGAAATCAGTTTTTATTTCACAAGTATATCAAATATACTTGTTAGTCTAAAAGTAGTAAGTGCACTTTATAGTGACAAAATCTACTACTAGTTGGGTTTCTTATTAATGGGTACCCCTCTTATAAACATCGATATATATTTTTTAATTTAAATTTATTTTTAATATCTGGCTTAAGTATTGTACCTTGTTAAATGGCGTTAATGATTTGCTTACAAGTGTTTTAAATCAAATTAAATTATTAATCAAATTTCAAAACAAAGTAATAATCTAAAAATTAATAAAATGCATAAATGCAAATAAACAAAAACAATTTTAAAATATTTTTCTAATTAATTAAATAGTTTTAAATAATCATTTAAAAATTAATAACTTTATTTGTTTCAAGTGCATTTGTAATTTAATTAAATTATATGTATTTATAATAAAAAAAATATATATACACATCTATACGAGTATAAATACATTCATTTTTTATATATACGTACGGGTTCAAATATATATATAAATTTTATGTATATGTATTGCTGAAATTCATATATATTAACAACTACGTATGTAAGAAAAATCTTGATAATCTCTCATCTCAAGAGGTCAGTCGCCATTCAGATTAACGTAAGAAGAAAATAATTTTAAAAAAATATGTTATTTTCTGTGTAGATTAAGTTTGTACTCATTTTTCGCGTTGATATTACATATCACAAGAAACTTAAGTGCCGATCGCAAAATATTTTATTTAATATTGCAAACTATAAAAAGTTATAGCTTTAAGCTCTCAATGAAAAGTATTCATGTTCTATGACTGTAAGTGAGAGTGTTTCGGACCCCTGACTTGGAAATAGAAGGCTTTCAAGGGCAGTGGGTGCAGTTCGAAAAGATTTTAAGCGATTCAAATATATTTCATCATACAATATGTATAATGAAATATTGTTTTGCTCATTTATATAAGAAAATATATATATCAGATATTACGATTATTTATAGCAAATTAAGTGCAATTTTGCCGATGTAAGAAAAAAAATATTGGTTCCTATTTCAACTGAAACATGGCTAAACCCATAATATTTCCAGTTTGACGTAAATGTATATAAACAATTCAACCTGAAAATTCTCCAAAACTTATTAGGGATTTTGAGCATTTCTTTAATCTCATTTATATAATACATAATATAATTGAAATACTTTTCAGTATTCGGGGTATGATCACACCATTTGACTTTTTTTCAATTTTTTAAAATTTTATTGCACTTTAAAATTTTATTATTCATATGCTGTTAATTTTTTTAGGGGATAGATAGATAGATGACAAGACCCTTAAGCTATTTTAATGTGTAACGAATATAGATAATAACAAATGATAATGTAACCCTATGACTTAACTTTATTTATAAATGCTTATAAATAAATAAATAATAAATTTCCTATATAGAATGCATATCGTATTTCTTATGCGATATCTAGACATATCTTGACATAGTTTTCGAGACAACACAATTTGGACCTTTGTCTACTTCACTTGTCACTAAGTTCGTAGGCTAACAAAAATGGTCAGTAAATATACTCATTTGAAACGGAACTAATGCTCTTTACTCCAAAAACTAAAAGGTCTATATTCAAGATGTGTAAACTAACTAAACGAAAACTAAATTTCACTCTTGTGCTATGTATTTCACTGTAATCTAATCTGTGTGACTATAAACCTGAATTCTATCAACCCTAATGGATCCCTTATGTAATGCAATACATTACATAAGGGATACTAAAGATAACCGCATACGAGTAGAAATACTTAATGTAATAACAGTTCAGTTTCATCAAAATTAATTAATTACCCTAACCTAACCTATGAACATTTTTGGAAAATCCTTCTTCTAGCTTGGATTTAAGCAATGTACATGCTAAACTTTATTGTTGTATGACTAAAGAAACAGGCAAGGGTGTATGCTGTCACCCCTATTAGTCAACATGTATTACGAGCAGATCTTACATTAATCAATTTCCAAAATTGATTAAGATGTTTAAAACTGGCGATATGTTTATTAATAACACAATATAAGCAGATGACATCACACTTAGACCTAAGAATAAAAAACTTTATGAATTCATTTAATAAAGAATTGTCTTTAAATTAATATAAATAATATATATATATATAAATATCTATATGCTTTCAAACAGAAAAACTATTTTAAATAATGTAATTATTAATAATTATTAATAAAATATTATATGAACTCTTGTACTCTTAATCAATTCGGCAAATGAAGAAGGATAACCCAAGAGAAGAAGTTATTTTTTTCGGGGTTATCAATATCAAGTTAGGTGTATTCTTAAGTGATATATTGTAGGAAATGCAAAATTATGCGTACTAAATGCAAAACATTATGCGTACTAAATGCAAACCAGAAGATACTGCTGTTATTTATAACAAGAACTCTGCGGAAGTCAAAAATGCAATATACTATATTGTATTAAGTTGTAATATTTTCAGTAGTAACCAGATGTGTAATAAGAACACAGACATATTCTCAAGCAATCAGATAACGGTTGCAAAAAAAGAAGAAAATAGAGTCTGAAGTATACTGCATTTATATGTATATAATAATACATATAAGTATATAATAACTTATAATAATATAAGTAATAATACTTATATATATAAGTACTTTATAAGTACATATATAAGTATAGTTCTGTAGGCTCTTAATATATTTGAAATTTAAATGAAAATTATAAATGTTTAATAGATCAATTTTCCACAATTTTTAAAGTGACCAAATTTCTGCTTTTTTCCATGGAATGATGTTTTCAAGACTGACGATTTGGATGGAGTTAATTTTTCACACTCTGTATCTTTAATTAAGTGCAATTCTTTATATTAAAAATAAATCTTATTTCTTCCATTATTTACTTTTCGATTTTTTCATTTTCGAAAAAAATCATCTGTATTTCATAATTAAAAGCAAACATACTATATTATCACACAACATACTATATTATCACATGCAACAGACTGCAACAATAATTATTTTAATTAATTATTTTAATTTTTAATGAACATGATATTGACAAGCATTCATACTGGTGAAAAACACTGGCACCGAAGAAAAGTAATAGAAAAAAATTTAAAACAAGTTAACATTAAATTTAACTGCTCTAAATTTAACGACACACAGGACCTGGTTTCAAGGCCCACTAAACCTAGTCTAAAAACTCGTTTAAAAATATCTTTATGAAAAAATTAATGTTTACGTTCCTATTATTATTATTATTATGTTGAGCCTTTTCCGAATTAATGCATCTGGGCACAATTAATTTTTGATATCCTGAAAGTGATATTCAAGCACTCCTCAAATTCTATTTTATTCTTGTATAATTTCTATCCAGTATCGATAGAGACACAGAGGTTTATGTTTGGTTTACAGGCAGCCAGATTAATCTTACCTAAGATTAAATTAATGTGAGAATAAATTATTTTCTGTAGAAAACCCTCTAAAAAACAATTTAAAATATTCTTCTATAAAAATAAATTATTTTCTGTATAGAACCCCCAAATAACAATTTGAAAAATTCCTCTTCATTTTATACATAATAACATATATTAGCGGAATACACTATATATGAACATAATATATTGTGTTTCGATTAACTGACAAATTACCTCGTCCTATAATCAATATACAAAATGGTTGGTCATAAAAATAAATAATATATAAATAAATTAAATTTTATTTAGTAATAAAATATTTTTTTTACAACTTACCTTCGCATTTTCCATATGTCTTTTGGTATTGCTCTTATTTTATTACCGCCAATATATAGATACTTAAGATACCGTAACTCGACCACTTGTTCCGGGAAATGCGTTAGTAAATTGCCACTTAAATTCAACTCCTTGAGATATGAATTTTTCATAACAAACGACTTCGGCAGTGACTTATTTGTCAATTGGTTATTCTTTGCAATCAGTGTAACCAATGGTAATTGACATATGGCCTCCGGTAGCATCGTCAAGGAGTTCGAACTCAGATCCATAATTTTTAAATTCACAAATTGTTTAATGGTGTTCGGTATGTGCGTGAGACGATTGTGATTTAAAAGCATGGTTTCGATATCCTTGTGATTTTTGAGACGAGTTTTACTTTCCGAATGTAAATCGGTATCGAGATAGGGTTCATTATCCGTTAACCCCATATGTCCATAATCCAAAGTTTTCTGGTCGCGCGTATCACTTTCACAGCTATCTGATGTGTAGACCTCCATTTTAAATATTTTTTTATAGATAATATTTGTAGATTTTTTTGATTTTTGAATTTTTTGTGCCGATTCAGATTCACAATAAAAATATTTTTAATTAAATTTTTTAAATTCAACTTTCAACACCAATTGAAATGATTTTAATATAATTTTTAATTTTTAAAATTTTATATTATTTTTTATTTTGTCAGAACATTTTTTTGTGTATTTTAATTTCGTTTTTCATATTCAAATGAACCAAGCGAGCAGCTTCTATTAAATAAACTCGATTCTATGCGCGACTTCCGTTAACTGAAACCTTTGTCGACTTCATACACTTTTAATCTGAAGTTCTTCGTTCGAAATGTGTTTTTGATTATACATAAATTTAATTACTGTTTTGCACTTGTAGTTGTTGTTCTTGTACTGATAGCGATAACGAGAAATTAGCGTAAGAGACCAGACGAGATATTTTTAAGTTTTATTGTCCATTAAAGCAATTACAATAACAATAACAATAACAATAATAAACTCAAATACATATTCGGTTAGTATTTTATTTTAATAAATCAGCTTTATTAATGAGTTTTAACCGCGGGTCTGTTATTTTTGAATTTTTAAAAATTATTACCATATAATATGGTTATATTAATCTGTAGAAATGGTTACTTAATCTGTAGAAGTGGTTACTTAATCTGTAGAAACGAATCTGAGGTATCTAGGCTAATATCTGGCTTTGCAGAACACTGGTCCATAGGACGGCATAGAGCTAGAGGCGGCCTACCCTGTGGTACTTCTTGTAGTGCGTGTCTACCAGCTCTTGAGGAAATGACAACAGAACATCTAATGTGTCTTTGTCCAGGTCTGACCAGAATTAGGTTTAAGTTTCTAGGGGTCCCCTTTTTCAATTCACTTAACGATATCTCCAGCATCAGCATTAGCCAGATTCTTGCCTTTATTAATGCCTCTAGCTGGTTTTAGTTTGACCTTCTATCTACTACCGACTATTACGAGATTTTTGTGGATTCAAAACGTCTTTTTAGCTAATTGAGGAGCACTCGTCCTCTTTCCACCTTAACTAACTAACTAACTGTGGTTATATTAGAGCATTTCATAAATATTTTCATCACTGAACTTAAAATCGTAATGCCGCGTCAAATGTTACAGTCACTTAGGTCACCTTTCTTGGGTAGCTTGATTATAATGCCATGAGTAAACATCATTACTGATATAAAGGACGTAACGTTGAGGCGAGAAAGGTGGAAGCGACTTATAGACAGCCTATGCACAGTATAAGAAGCTGCTCGAAATCTTGACGTCGAGCAAGGCTTATTATTATTATTATTATTATATTAGAGCATTTGGACATTTGGACTCTAAATCGGTAACTCTGTATAATTCGGAAAACTGCGCGAACTTCTTGAAATTAGCAAATAATAAAAATTTATTGATTTCGGTGTTGACTACTTCTATTAAAATTTAAAAAATTAAGTTATTGATTCAAGTTCTAAAGAAAATATATTTGATTTTCTATCCTCGAGTTTCTCAACTCAAAATGTACTACAGCTCGGTAAAATAATTAATATAGTTTACAAGCACCATTTCAATATTTAATGTATTTTACAAAGATCAGTACTAAGATATTCCCAAAAATAATATTAATAATTTACTCCTATTATAATTTAGAAGAATAAGAAAAATTATTGATTGAAGATGTGAAGAAAATATACTTGTGGTAGCTTACGACCTAATCGATTAGATTTGACAAGCATAAAATGAAAAGAAGGAATTATCATAATGAAGTAAAAATAGAATACATTAATCATTTTCTATGTATATGTCTAGGTTTACAGACGAAGTGATTTCAATGTTTTTAATGATTGAAAACCGGAATGAGGTGTGATTGGCATGGCAGAGAAAACAAAAGTGGACTTGCGCAAACTCCTAAGCTTTATCTGGATAACTAATAATTTAATAAGCATAATATTCGGAGTAACAACAATTAATGTTCCACGCCACTTCTAAGCAATTTTGAAAGCTTTACAATAAACAATAGATATTGCCGAGTGGATGTGTTGATAGTTGTTTCAGTATACACTTTCTCTACTACGATACTACGATGAAATCTGTTGTGTACAAAATGAATTATTCTCTCATATAATAAAAGCCAGAAATGATCAAGAAAAGATATAGTGTTTCATCGAATTAATACAAAACATTTTACAAGTTTGATAACTCATTAAAAACATCAAAAATGTCTTGGATCAGTTCATTGTTCGCAAAGTTCAAAACATGGAAACATGGAAGCATGGAATGTTACTGGCAGAATGTGGTAATAGGTATTCAACCTAGACAGAATATACTATATTTATACTTAATATAAAATATTTACATTGTGACCGAAAGATTTTCGGAAATTCTCATTTAAAATTCGCGCGCTGTATATTTTTCGATATTTTAAGTTTATGTAGTTTGGCAGCACTGTCCTTAATTTCTATGCCAAAAATGAGCGCGATCTGTCAGACAGTTCGTTTACGGCAGCTGTTGAAACCAGTTCACCTCAGTAGTGCGTTGCGAAAAAAACAATGGAAAAAAATATTGAACAAAGAGTTTGCATCAAATTTTGTTTTTCGAACGAAATTTCGTGTGCAGAATCGTTGCGAATGCTACAAAAGGCTTATGGGGAATCAGTTTTATCGAAAACTCAAGTTTATGAGTGGTACAAAGCCTTTCAGGACTGTCGTACGACCGTCGAAGACATGCCGCGTTCTGGACGACCTTCGACCTCTACCACCGACGAAAACATTGAAAAGGCAAAGGAAATCGTGTTCAAAAATCCTCATGTGAGTGTTAGAGAGATAGCACGAGAGCTAGGCATCGGTCGTGAGATGGCTCGTTTGATTTTGGTGGACAATTTGTGTATGCGACGTGTCAACGCCCGGCTTGTTCCGATTCACCTCAATTTGTTCAACATTATCAACGATTTTAAGGCCAAACATTCAATAAATACCATCGAACAGCCACCGTATTCACCTGATCTTGCACCGTGTGACTTTTTCCTGTTTCCCAACCTCAAATTACCACTCAGAGGAACGCGTTTTGAATCCATAGAAGACGTAAAACAGAATTCGCAGAGGGAACTCAAAGCCATACCGGAAAGCGCCTATAAAAAATGTTTTGATGATTGGAAGAAAAGTTGGCATTTGTGTATCGCTTCTAATGGAGCATATTTTGAAGGAGATAAAATAAATATTGATGAAGATTAAGAATTTTGCGTTTTATTTAATTTATTCCGGAAACTTTTCGGTCACAATGTATATAAAGATAAAATATTTTTACATAATTATTAAATACATAAACGGATATAAATATATAATAGTTATAGATATATATAAAATATATTTATTATCTATATATATATAGATAATATAAAATATTTATATAAAGATAAAATATTTTACATAATTATTAAATACACAAACGTATATAAATATATAATAGTTATAGATAAATATAAAATAATGTCAGAAGGGGAGAGCAGCTCTCATCCAAGTGACATGTGCCAGAAGGAGGTCACTGGGAGGAGAGCTGCTCTCCCCTTCTGACATTAGGAGGTCCTCAACGGCCGACATTCTTGCCTTCATTCGGAAGGCGGAATGTCTTCTGTTCTGTTAGGGTCTGTTGCAGCACAAAAGATCAATCTGGTCGCAGTGCTCCGCTCCTTTGGAAGCTAGTATCCCGTTCATTATACATATATGTAAAATATTTGTGCACAAATATACAATAATTATATAATATTCATAAACAATAATAAACAATAAACAATAATAAACCTTTATTACCTTTATTATTGTTTATTGTTACATACTGAAGATGATCTACGAACTAGACCGAAATACCTATAATATAAATAATTTTTTATAAAAATTAAAATATAATTAAATATTTAACACGAATTAATAAGTGTAATTTTTTATTTAAAAAAAGATTCATAGAATTTTACGTGTTAAATTAATGGGCTAAATACCTTAATGCTAAAATCGGGCAAGTAAATGAAAATTTAGAGCACGTCATTGGGAAAAATGGCCTTGGTGACATGAATGACAATGGCGAACATTTTTTAGAGCTATGTGGTATAAACGAACTAAAAATTGGAGGCACGCTTTTCTCGCATAAAACAATGCATAAAGTAACATGGGTATTACCTGATATGAGAACACAAAATCAAATAGATCACATTTGTGTTACACATTTGAGGTGCCGATATCAGCTCTGATCACCACCTACTAGTTGGCAAAATACTAGTTAACCCAATAAGAATTCAGAAGTCGGGTAGCTGTAGCAGAATCAAATAAAATGTCTCTAAGTGGAAAGCAGAAAATATAAAGCAAAATTTTTCACGTTCCATCTCTGAAAAACTTACTGCTTCTACTAACAACCTAAATCCCCAACATTGCTGGAACAAAATAAAAACGGCTATTAAACAAAACCTGCATGGAAACCTTAGATAGAGCGTCATATAAGACCAAAGACGACTTCATCTCAGCACAAAACTGGATAATGATAGAACACCGACCAAAACTGAGAAATGATATGAATACCATGAGGAAGTCTAATGATTGAAAGAGAGCGCAAACGGAATACACACACCTGGACAAATGTGTCAAAATGGGAATTCGGGACAATAAGCAAGAATATACACATAAATATATAATATTTAAATATACAATATAATATATACAATATATAATATAGAAAAACTGTCATTTTTACTTAAAAAGAATTTCTTTACGAAGACCCAACCGAACTTTATACTAAAACAGACAGACGTCTTTGCAGAAATACCTAAAAAAATATTTGCTCGGAAAAAATATTTAAATAAAAATAAAAAGGCGATCTATTTAATTGTTTTAAGGTTCAACTTTGTATACAACAATAAGTGGAATTTTTGTTAAGTCATGATCAATTTTTTTGTATATATGAGTGCATGTCTCTGGCTGAGACGATTTGCTTGCCATTTGGTTTATGTTCGTATGTCGAGTGATTAAAATAGTTTTTATTATAAATGATTATTGAGACATTTTGAGATATTTTCACGTTGTATATGGCGTTACTTTATAAGTTAAATTTACGTTATCAAAAACGAAAATAACAACACTTGTAAATTGTTGTCAGTATGTTTATGTGAAAAAAAATAACAATATTTAATAAAAGGTATTTGTTAATAAAATATTTTGATTAATATTTACAGTTTTTTTTTTATAAAATAATAAATAATACAATTTAAGAAATATAATTAAAAAAAAAACAACTTACCTGTACATATAACAGTTTTTTATTTTGTTTATTAAAATAAATATAACTGCTGTTTATTTGGTACTTAATATGTTTTAGTTTCCACGTTTAGTAATTTAAATCACTTAATTACAATATCAAAAAAAAAAACGTAAACAATCGATAAATAAACAAACACACATTCATTTGAAAGTCTCATTTTTATGCGACGCACTTTTATTTTCCCGTATTTGGTGGCAGGTGATCGCTGCAGCCGTCAAACTTTACCGTTATTCCTTTGCAATGAACTATTCTCACTTTTCAATAATTATTATATTACACAATTAAATTGATTAAAGAACACAATTTATGAATAATTAACATTAGATTTCGTATTATTAGTGCGTTTTGTTAAATTATCTTAATTTAAGAAAGTTTAATAACACCGCAACCGCTTATTAACCCGACAACACTATTCTGACGTTGGAGTTGTTGGAGCACCGCCATTACTACTACTTCGAAACAGTGTAACAATGAAATATACGTTTATGAAATGTAAACAACACTGACGATTTTATTGTTATAATATAATTATATACCACATTCAAATCATTCTAGTAATATTCATTTGAATTAATTTACGTGTCGATAACAAGAATTTTTGATTTAGTTAAGCCTGATTTGTTTAAATTATACTTCGACTGCATGATTACACAATGAAGTTCAAACTGTTGTTGTCGGATTTCGAAAAAAGGTTCAATTCATTGCACACACTATCACACATCTCCCCTAAACATTTTTATATCATGTCATGAGTGTAGACAACTATCAATTTTATCGCATGCGATTTTTACATTTTCCTTTTGTACTTGAGCAAAATTTAAGTGAGATATAGAATATGCAATAATATAACAATAATATAAATATACTAATATTGGTCAAACGACATTATATTTTGTGTTTTTAAATTAAATATTTAAATCAATATTTAAATATTTTTATACGTTAAATTCAAAAATCTCGCATAAATACTAAAAGCCTGTTCAAACTGCACCATTTATTGGTGCAGTTTATATTACGAATAGCAATAAATGTCTTGCGATTATTGTTGCAGATGTATTTCAATACCAAATTTATTGCAATTGGAATAAAATTAGCTAGGCTGTATTTTTTGTCACACTAAAAGTAAATTATAGGAGGCCAAGGTACATACTGGACTATAGTGCCAAAGAAGAAGAAGAAGAAGAAAAGTATATTATGAAAAAACCAAAGAAGCATAAATTGTTGTAAAATTGGACACAACTGATCTATGGTTCATTAAACTATATGAACCATCATATATGTATGTATATATAAAACATCGTTATTGGTTTGTAAATTAAATAATATTAATATCATTTTCGATTGGTAAATCTAATGCTGCTTCAACAAAACCGACTGGTAAAACTGGGGTAAATTTTTGAATCAAATTTTATTTTATTGCAATTTGCATTTTCGATTAGTAAATCTCGGCGAAATGTATACCACTCGAGATTAATTTATAACACTCTAGATATTTTGCTAGAGTAATAAAATTATAATGAAATAACAAGCTATTTTATACAACTTGTTGTCTACTACTCAACTACGAAAATGTTAGATTACTCAAAAAACGTTCAATTGAGCAATCAAAAGATCAAGAATAAATCTTTATTGAATTCAGATTTTTTAATTAAAAACGCCAATAATTTGCTCTCAAACTGCCATTCTTTGCTGGAGTTTTATCCCAATCGAACATGTTAAGCGTAATCCTAACATTATTTGACAGCTACACATATGTTGACAAGTCAGTGTCATTTTTTTTTTTATTCATATTTTACTTATATTGTTATATTATTTTAATATCATTTTATCCTTTAATTTGCTAGTAAACACAATATTTCAAATATTTAAATACTAATATTTAAATATCAAATACTTTTAAATTGTCAACATAAAACAGTTTTTAAATTTATCATCAATTTTTTCATGGTATGGTATTATAAGGTATTATTTAATTTAGGATTTTATATATTTTGTCTGGGATTAACCAATCGAAAAAAAAAACTGTACTTAAAGTGGGTCTCAGTTGAAAATTAAATCTTAAATTTAACAATCGAAAACGGCATAACAGAATCAAAAACTATATGTTCCGACTTATACAATTAACCAATACGACAAGCTGAAACACTGATTTTGAACAATTGTAAAACTTCTATAAATTGCATTTCGTCATATATAATTCATATATAAATTATTCTTTAATATTAAAAGAATAATACTTTAAAAAAAAATTTAAAACAATCTCTGTATAAAGAATTCCAACACTAACAATTAAAATTGCTACCTTTTCATGAATGTTTGCGTATGAAAAATACATATAGCAGTAATTACAGCACATATACCGAGTTAATTACCATAATGTAGAATACTGCATTCTCACGAGAGTTTCGTTTATAATTTTAGCTGTCAAAAATATTCGTTTTGCATTGAAAACAACAATAATTTACAGCTAAATTTACAAACCAAATTGTCGTATAAATCCAGTATTAATTGCTATAATGTACACTTTAAAAGTACTGTAATTTATTAAAATTACTACACTAAAATGCATACCTGTAAATTGAAAAAGGTTTCAAACTAACTGAACATATGTAAGACATTTGTTGTTGCTTGTATTTCAGAAACAAATAGCATATTCCTTTCAAATGTGAAAAAATTCGCTTAGTTTGCATAATTTGTAAAGTATACTTGAAATTAAAATGGGGGATGTAAATAACCCATCTTCTAAAGAAGGCGAAAAATCCTTAAGTCCGCAAGCACATTTACCAATAATTATAAAATGTGAAAAACCGGAGAACAGTACAAAAGCAACTAACAGCAGTACTCAAATTACAGCTAGCGACCCCATATTCCAAACGGTCGTTCCACTGAACATAAAGCGTGAGATTGAGGACAAAGACTCTCAATTAAATACTCCACAACCACATAAGCCAATCGTAGAAGTTAAAAAAGAATCTACAGAACGAGCCACTGTGGTTTCTAGTAAAAATACAGTTAACATTCCAAGTCCAGTATCAACAACAGCTAACAATGCTACTATATCAACGGGTAATGAATTAGATTCGATTACTGCAGATTGTCTGGACCATTTGGACCACTTTATTGACGATATAAGTACAGAGTTAAGACCAGAAAATGTTTCAAATTCGGAAAAAATATTTAAGTCTAAACCCAAAAAGGAAAGTTATAGTGAAGATGAAGATGAAGAGCAGGACCCTCAAAATACAATATTCACTGACGATTTCTTCTCGGAGTTATATACACCAATTGAAAATAGGATAGGAGAAAGATATGTTGATGAAGCTACCGCACTTATAGAAGAACGCATACAACAAACTACAGTAGGAAATCAAAGTAATGTTGCACAAGTCGCAGGTAATGGACCTGTTGCCCAAGTAGAAGTAAATACGCAAATACTCCCAGTCACTACAGTTGATAAACCTACTAATATAGAATCAATAGCTAATATAGAACGAACTGATGAAGATCTCATTGCACAAATAAGATCAATTGAAAATGAGCTGAAAATGCATAAAGAAAAAACGCATAAACACAAAAAAAATAAAAAAAAATCTAAAAAGCGAAGAAGGAAAAGTGATTCCTCCGACGACGATCAAAACCACCATACAAAAAAAATGTCGTATTCAACTGAAATCAATTCACCAGTCATACACATTAAAGAGGAACCACTTTTCGAGCGAAGACAAAGACTACAAGTTGCTTCTGAAGAAACGAGCAATTCCAGCATTATACACACCCATACTCTTCCTTACATGTCATCTAAAGTGCTTAAGGCCACTTACGATACAAATTATTGTGAACAAAAATATGAACTGGAATGCTTAACTGTCAACCCACTGTTCGCTACTAAGTCAAACAATTTAGGATTCAAACCTATCAAATGTAGGCTATAGCATACAAATTACTTAACTAAAAATATTTTTAAACATTTGGATGTATATTTTCAGTGGAAAAACTGCAATTAGAACCAGCTAAAAAACCCTTAACAATGCAAGAGCTGAAGCCACAAGGTTTGTATATATTAGGAAAAAATATAAATGTTTATGCATGCTTATGCATGTCAGTATCCATCATAGCTATATAGACAAGCCAATAATTTTGCTCAAATAAGTTATTTTAGTCAATTTCACCACTTAAATAATTTTCTCTTATAGTATAGATTTCTTTTACGCATATATTGATTATTAATTCTTAAAATAACTACATTTCAGTCAAACGTCTCTGCGCCCAAATCAATAAAGTTATGAAGTTGCCTAAAGATTATAAAAATACATCTGATGGACTTGTGGCTCCACGCATAATGCAAAAAATTAATTTAAAAGAAAAAGACTTAATTAACCGCTCACTTTTGGCACTTAATCCTATTACGAAATATTCATTTAACAATTCATCAACTCACATTGATTATAGAAAAATTGGATTGGAAGTATTGCAATCAGCAACAGCACGTTTGGCTACACTTCTTGGCTATGATATGCGTAGATTAAAGGAAAGAATTATGGAAAACCAAAAGCGACTTGGTAAAAATCCTATCGACTTAAGCGATAAATCTGCTGATGCTTATTCATTTCTCAAGGATGCAGCGACTCAAACTACTGCGACGGATAAAACTGGTATTAGTATTGGAGTAGAAGCTAAGCCGAGTGCATTTAATATAAGCACCCAAACAAGTGGCAATAATATAAATGATTCATATAATAATTTACCACTAATGCAATTTTTGCCAAAGCTTAATGATAGTGAAATATTAGCAGTAACTGATTTTGTTGAACTGATGTTAGAGCGAAAAATGGGTGCAAGAAACAAAAGTGACAGTTATCAAACCAGACAGCGTTTGTTTGATATATATAATTCAGCAGAAGTGAGTGCCATACAATCTCCTCAGTCAATGAATAGAAACCGTGATCCTAGAAATCAAGCAATACCACCATACATCGAAACCGCACCAAATAATTCTTATATCTCACATACTCCGCAAAATTATGGTTATATGCAAATGTCTGATCAAATGACTCAAGCGCAACTATCTCCTCATTATTACCAATCACCTGATCAACAACAGCAATCACAAATGTCTCCTCATTATTCGCAATACGGCCATAATAATCCACTGCCCGATAGGAACTTTCAAAATTATTATCCAAGAGATAGTCGTATGCCTCGTTAATATATAGTTATGTATTTATTTAATACCATCAGTTAAAATTTTATTTTTGAATGTAACTATTTTCAAATTCTCCTATAAAAGTAATTGCACCTATTATATTTTATTTAGAATATTCTGATCTAAGAGTGTGGTCTATACTTTCAGTATTAGCCGAGATAATTGGTGCTAAAGAAAAGTTTTTTACTTGAAAATAGATTCATTCAATTATACATTTTTTTTCAAATTGCATTAGTTTTTGCTTAAAAATCATTTTAGCGAATTCGTTTTAAGTCAGATCCTAAATAAGAAAATAAGTTATTGAAATAAAGTGCGCTTAAGTTCGGATTCATTTAAGCCAAAAGTACTGTGTTCAATTTAAAGAAAATTCTGTAAATAAGAGAATATGAATTTAATGTGAATAATATAAATAAATTTCTAGTTTTATAAATAATTTTTCGAAATTAGTTTCAAATAAAATCAGCTGATTTTTAAATACTTGCCTATAATAAACAATATTGTTATTTATTTAAAATCTACATCAACTTACCATAGGTTGTGACTTTATATTGGACAAATACGGTTTTACAGTTTTTATTTGTTTCAAGAAAGTTATGATGATCATGCACTAACTCAAGAGATTTGCGAAAACTGATTTAAACGATTCGAAAGTGGTGATTTTGATGTTAGAGTTAAAGAACCTTCTGGTCACCCAAAAAAGTTTAAAAGCAGTGTTAATGGAAAAATCAGTTCAAATAGAAAAAGATTATATGACAGTTTGAGTAACCATGACAATGATACAAAAAGAAGCAAAGTGGGTAACGATCAATAAAAATCGCTCTTCAAGACTAGCACTTTCGAAACCACGAAGAAATCAAACAATAACTAGATGAAGGATTCTCGTGAAATAAGTTTTTTCATAAAAACCATAAATCGCCAGAAAGAGGACCGAAGAACATAGCTAACGAAGTAAAATATTTTGATTAAAATAAAATTCTCCAATTTTTAGGAGTTTTGCGGAATATGTAAATTTATTCATACTTAATATAATGTATCTATAAACATTCCTCACCTTACAAATTCTTTATAACCCTCACAGAGTGGGGGTTGGCCTTATCATTGGCATGGCCTTATCAACCATTGCCATAAATACATACTAGTATTATAGTATAATATACTACATATTATAGTATAATAATATTACTATGAAACAATAATAATATTTATTAGTTTCAGTTTTGTAGACTCACCTATTTTCAATAAATAAATAGTTTTCACAAAGCTTGTCCAAAGATCAAAATATCAGCAAAACTATTTTGTGTCACCTGTGGTATTTACAGTTTTTAGAAAACGGAATTAGGTGTAATTATCGTATTCACTCAAACCATATTGTTGAGAATTGTTACGGGCTATAAGGCTGACGAAGAAAATGAATAACTGATAGTTATAAGATGTGGAAAGGCATACATTCTACAAATGGCAAATTATGGACTACCATTAAAGCCTCTTCTCATCTTTATAATTATAATAAAAAACGTTTAGGTTTGATTAATCTGGTTACCTGTAACCCCATACATAGACTTATGCCTCCCTAGAAATACTAGACAGAGTAAAACTTCTATGTTAATCTTATAGTAGATATTTTATAAATTTTAGGAGTACTTAAAGCTCTATTCTCGAGACAGCAAAAATGCAACAAGCATTTCTAAAGTGAATTTTCAGACCACATCATAGTAAAATTGGAACCTAGACAACACGGTAGTCAGTAAGACGAATTAATATAATTGAATTATTACTATCGTTCACTAATATGTCACATAATTATATAAACACTGCGTTCATAATATAGTTCTGAAATGTAAAAACTAAAGAAGAACTGAATACTCATAGGATTAAGTACTGTATTTAAACCCACACATCGAACTACCTTATTTTATCCTATAAAATTGCTCTTTTCTAAAGTCTATAAACCTCTCTGTTAAAAACCCATTTCTTCCAACGAATTTTAATCATCTCGTAACTGTGCATTTTATGCCAGTATTCTTGTTAAATTTGTAACAGTGGAAGCTTGGTCCAGGTGATCTGGACACATACCCCAATTATAGATAGGGCCGGAAAAGGTCGTTACAGTACCTTCCAACAACAACGTTTCGAGAATATAAAATTTGTTTTTGTTTAGAAAAGTTCTCAATAGGCCCCGTCTTACATCTTTTAGAAAGAAACTACAAGTATTGTCCTAGTTTAATTGATATCAGGAAATAGCCATGTGCTAAGCAGTTATTTATCACACAAAAATGTGTCAATACCAAAGTACAGTTCTACTCTCCATGATGTATACCATCTGTTTTTCTGCCACAACGCACACATAAACTTGAGTCCAATCGATCGTTAGACCTACCCCATAGCAGTGACTATATTTTTATATTTTGATTCTGGTTGTTTCAATTTTAATCCAACCCATCCACCAATCCACTCTCTCTCTCTCTAAAATAGTCTACTGCTTGCTCAAGCTATTATCCTAACTCATATATTCGTCGTGCAATTCCTTTGTTATTGTTGTAGCCTGCAGGGATTGTGTAGTCTCTTTGGTGGTTGACTACTTGGTGAACGGCATTTGATTGTTGAAACTGACAGGTGGCTCTTGGATGTAGATCTAGTCGTTCTTGGATTATTGCAGGCTACAACAACAACAATAAAAGCCATTAAAAAAATAAAACAATAACGTCATTAATTGGTCGCACTTTTAATAACAAATTTTGCAATAAGCTAAATTACTCTCCAACTGCTAAACAGTCTTAATCATAGGTCAAAAAGCATTTTGTCTTTAAAAACTTTATAACTGAATATTATGAAAAAGCCTAAAAATTGTCTTCAGTAAAAGATTTTTTACAATTTTGATATAATGTATTATTATTAAAATTATATGTATAAAAACTTATACTAATACATTTTTTTTTATTTTCGATATTTATTAAAATATATATCATTTACTTAACTTTTGATATTTTTATTTTTTTAATAAAATTTGAAATGTAACATATTTTTATTCAAAAATCTTATACTTCTCTTAATATAATTAATGTATGTAGTTAAGATTTTATTTTTTCTTTTAGTTTATAATTAAATTATAGTTTTAAATAAGTAGTTAACTACAATTACGGAACTTTTTTTTGTTTTTGCAACAAAATCATATAAAATAAAAAATAAATTAAATCATTAACAAATTTTAAATCGTCGAATACTCAAATTATAATGCAAACGTTTCGGTGAATTGCCGAAATATAACAAAATATAATTATTTATAGGTATATATATTAATACCGATAATTAATATAAATATGGAAAAATTATATGTTTAATTTAAATTTTTTATATAGATATATATAATTTATATATTCTTTCTTGAATATTTCCAACTTGTGATTCATTTTCACTTAATAAACTCAGTGTTGTGTGAGTTAAAATGAGCAGTCGACAGGTGAAAATATTTACAACTCTTTTTCTTTTTTTATGTTCTGTTATAAAACAGAGTCTAGTATTAAAATTAAGGGAAGTTGAAATATATTTCATATTTAATATATCATAAAAAACATGCTGCATAACTTGTTACTAATACAAACTAATATATTTCTTTTCCACTGAACAAATCTCAAAAATGTTGAAGTGTTGGTCGGTAGTATGAGAAGAAAAATCGCTAATAGCTAAATTAATCTTATTTTTTTTTTGTTTCAAATCTACAAAATATATAAGAAATTTAACTAAAATTAAATAATTAAAAATAAAAATATTTTAACGATACACGGAATTCTATATTTTATATAATGTTCTGATTCAAATATGCTTTTATATTTAAAATATATAGATATATATATATACAATATGGTTTCCAAAGTAAACAAGGTTTTTAAAAAATGAGAACTAAATCCTTTGTTTTTTAAAACCGATTTTATTTAAACAAAATATTGCATAGTACAAAACAAAAGATCGGCAATCACTCTTTCAGTACTTATGACTGAGTATGTTTTAAATAGGCACACATCTCTGAAAAGTATGCGGAATCAATCAATCTTTCAGTACTTATAGCTGAGTTGGTTTTAAATGAGCACATACCTCTGAAAAGTATGCGGAATGAATATACCAAGAACTGCCAGGGTAACGTCCTGAAGTCACCCCTCAAGTTCAACTACAAAGTGCCGTTCAACACTCTCAAAATATCACCAATAGATCCCTACAGGCTATAGTAGTATTTGGAACATGTTTCAAGACAAGATGTTGGCTTTCAAACACAAAGAAAAAACATTTCTATCATCAAAAACTTTGCGTTTTTCTTAAAAAGTGAAGTTAAGTTAAATGATTATATAGAGTGGTGGGACAGTCAAAATTGTACTGGCAAATAAATTAGCCACAATTGCGATTTCTGAATTACATTAAGAACACCGCTTTCACTTTCAAAACGTGATTGTTTCAAAAACACCCAACTTCAAATTTAATGAATTTAAATTAACATTTTGGATAATATTTTATGAATTGAAAAACAGCTGTTATGAAATCTGCGCTTGTCATAGAATTCAGTTAACATGTATACTGCTCATCATTTAACCTTGCATTTTTTATACCGATAATCAGTCATCATCATTGCAGGATCGACCGGAACATATAATTGCCAATAGATGAACAAACTATAAAAACAACTATTCTTATAAAACACTGTTTACTTTGGAACGTACACTGTGTATCTGTGTATATGTGTATATATATATATAAATATATATCTTACATCTCAGAAAGCCAACTCTTAAAAGCCAAAAGTGTATATGCAATCTATACTGATGATTTCTTAACATCAGTATAGTTCTGTTTTAAATATAAACAAATAACATATATATAAAAAAAAAACTTATCGTTTAATTGTTATAATCTAAATAATTATTGTTTTTAAATAAATTTAATATAAATATGAATTTAATTGAAATAAAATATATGCTTTAAGCGTTTTCGATTCTTATGTATTAGTAAATATTTACTGATCCATAGCTTCCTGGCTGGTTTCGTCAACCTCCATTTTAGCAGGATCGTCTTTATTATTCGGTTGTGTTGAATCAGTAGCCATTGCAGTGGCACTATCACTACTTTCGACAACCATATTAACTTCTGGAACAGGTGAACCATCATCAACTGATGAATCTTCCATAGGTTGATCATTCAATGTTATAGTTGGTGGTGTAACTACAATATTATCAGTTTTACTATTTTCAACGGTTTCACTATTGTCAACAGTTTTAATTTCTTCTGTGGTAGGAACTGCCTCAACAATTACTTTATCATCCGTATCCTCAGCGATAACTGGCAATTGTTCAGTAACTTTAGCTTCTACATCTACTGTTGGTACTACAGTTGATTCAATTGTAATTGCAGTCGGGGATTCTGTTTCAATTTCTTTATTTACATTTTCCTCTTCAGTCTTACCATCTTCGTTTGTTGGAGCTAATGTTTCTTTTTCTCCAGTATCAATAACAGATTCAACTTCTTTTTTATCATCTACGTCACATGTTTCATTTTTATCAGTGTCTACCTTTTCAACCTTTTCTACAGCTGCTTCTTCGGTATCTACAGGTGTTGTACTTTCTTCAACAATTTTTGTTCCAGACTCAACATTATTTTGCTTAGCTTCAGTCGTTGGTTCTTCTGCGGCAGTTATTGCTTCTGTTGTACCCTCCTCTTTTGCGTCCTCAACTTCTTTGTCAGTTGTTTTTGAAACTTCTACGTCAGTTGGTGGAGTTGTTGACAATTCTTCTTTTTCACATTTTTCTATTTCTTGTTTTTCAATAATTTTTTCCTCTTCATTAACTGTGTTATTCTCAGTTTCTTGTTCAGTTTTATCTCCATTATTATCAACCTGATCTATAATTGATTTAACATTTTCTACTAGTTTGTCTGAAATTTTTTCTTCTGAAGAGTCTTCCGTTTTTTCATTGTCATTTTTTTCCTTTTCATTTTGTTCTTTCTCATTATTCACTTCTTCTTTATTTTCAGAAATTTTACCGGAGTTCTCAATTTTTTCAGTCTCAGTCTCAATATCAATGTTTTGTTTATCTTCGGACATCTCTGCATCATTATTACTATCATTAATTTCGTTAGTATCATTAGTGACATTCTCATTATCATTCTCATTACTTTTTATTATGTCCGGTTTTTGTTCATCTATCTTATCATCAAGTTTTTGTTCACTTTTCGATTCCGTATTCAACTCACTTGATTTTACAGCACTATCTTTCTCAGACTCTTTCTCTTTCTCATCGATATCTAACTTAAGCTTTTTAGGATTTGGCAATATATCGTCATCAGCAGATCGTAAAGCATTCGAGTCTATTTCTGTATTTTCGGCCCCAACTTTAGTTTCGATTGTTTCAGACTCAGGTTTAACATTCGTTGTTGTTGGTCCATTACCATTCTGTGTTTCGGTATTGAATATAGTTTCATTTTCCATATCAATATCAACGTTAACATCTAGCGAAAGATCTCCATTGACCACCGAATCGAGAGAGTCGCCATTTTCACTTTCAGTACGTTTACGTCCAGGTTCAATAGTACTGACTACTAAACAATTTGTTTTATATGAAAGTACATAAACAAAAGATTATGAAAAAAAAAATACCTAAAGAAAGGAAAATAAAATTTTTGGAATAAACTTACCCAAAATGTTCTTTTCCAAAGCACGCATAAACTTATCAATACGACTGTATTGCTTATGTGGATCTATTAGAAGCTCACACAGACGTTGAATGGTAAAAGGTGCCGCATTAAATAGTTCCAAACGCTCCAAAAGTGCAGATTTCATGCTTTCGTAATTAAATGGATCTACATTAGGATATTGGGGAATTTCTGAAAAAACCCAAGTACATCGAAAAATAAAAATATAATTTATTACTATTATATAATGTAAGAGAAAATAATAAAAAGTACGCAATATATATTTTTTAAGAATATTTTTAAAATATTTATAAAAGTACGAAAGAAATTAGCGAATGCTAAAAACGGAGGGTTATTGTACTTTAAACAGTTTTACACACGTTTGAGCCGCAGAAACATAAAAAGTTTAAATAAAGCAACTTAGCTGAGTTAAAGAGCGAACATTTCTTGACACATATATAACAACAAAATCATCTGCCGTATAAATTCATACAAAATTTTTGCAAACAGACAATAGAACAAGATGAAAAAAGAATTTGCAAAAATTTAATGCTATTATGTGAAAAGAATATTAAGTTTTTTCTTATTTTTTTTTTTTTTATATAAATTTAATTGATAATAAAAATGTTAAATGAAACAAAAAAAAAAATAATTCTTTGAATGAATAAAATATTGTATTGCTTGTGTAATTAAATACACCTCATCTCATTAAATGCATATTATAATATCTCTAATCTAAATGTTACAATATACCACAAAACATATATATTTATAATGAAATTATTATTAAAAAATAATATCCATAATAATATACAAACTAAAAAGACAACAATAAAAAAAATTTTTATTAAACTTAAAATTCAAACATTTTTTTGTTATTCAACACAACAGCCGAAAAGAAACGGCAACAATTTCACAACCGTTTACTACTCACCACGAAAGTATGTAGCAAGACAGACAGCTGTGTTACATTCTTTTTTATGCATTTTCTGCAGCCTAAAACTGTATTTATAATAGACAGAAGGAGCGGACATATTTGATATGCCACAAAGAAAAGTTCAAAAAACCGGCAGCGCAAAACGAAGATGCAAAAAAAAGAAATTGCAAGCGAATTATAGGATCAAAAAAAAAATGTCCGTACAACATTTTCCCTCTATCGCTAGTAGCGATTCGCTACCACTAATAACTAGTTATTTAATTAAAATTTGTATATATTCGTATATCAAAAAAAAAAAAAGTAATTTCAAATTTATAATTGTAGCACACACACACATATATATATATATATATATACAGCAGCACCCCCTTTTTATTGAATTCACTTCTAAGAAATTTATGTTTTAAGACCGATATTAAAAAGACAAAATTAGTTCATATTCGTAAAAAAAGCCAAGCAACGCCCTAAATTATTTTGCACATTTTTCGCAAATGTGTCAACTACTGCACTTTAACAAGACTTTCAGATTTTCACGCACAAAGAGAAAGTTTAAAAAATCTCCAGACAAATTTTTGGCCAACGTAAAAAAAGCATAAAAAAGATGAAGGAAGCGTAAAGAAACAAAAAAAAAAAAAAGATTGAAAGCCGGTTTGGCACTTACCGTCTCCTCGCGTTGAAGAAGTATCATGAAAATTTTTGATGACGTTTAGTAACTTTTCCCGAAATAAATACTTAAGGCTTGACCATTTGAAAACGGTATCACCGGTTTTAGCAACGTACTGCAAATATTCGTCCAACTCCTTCGGTATTTCTTTTTGTTTAAGACGAGTATAGCGCTCCAAAATTTGCATAACTTCCTCAGCGTTTTCCATATTGTACACCATTTTTAATTCCGTTCTAAGAATTTTTTCTTTTTACTAGCGGCGAACACAAGTATTAGGAAAAAAAAATTCGAAATTCTTATTAAGTTCAATATGTAGACAACTATCCTTAATACAAATTAAGAATAGAGGACGCAAACACTTCAACTTAGCACAAGCACAAACTACCACTGCGCTCACTGAACACAGAATGATAAAACATACATTTGGTTGTATGAAAAAAACGCATTTTGAGAGAGACTACATTGTATTGTGTGAAAACACAAAATTTGTGCTGTTAACACATTTTAAAACGGAATATTCACAATAGTTTAACTTCAACTATACATATTCACAATATGTTTATATATGGAGCCTGTGGATCGTTGCTTCTACTGCAACAGAGAGAATAACATAAAAACATGCAAACATGCGTAATGCCTCTGCAAACAGAATAGTATTGAGATTTAACAATTAAAAATAAAAATATAATGAATTAATTCAATTATTCTTTAGCTGATTTATGATTTCGTTCTAATATAACACAGCAAGTGAATGTGTTAATAAAAACTTTCATAGCAAATTATCAAAACTCCAGAAAAAGGTGCGAACATAGAAGTCAAGTATAGTTTTAGATTAGTTGGGTAATGAACACTGATTCTGAACTTCGAATTTGGCAAGGCACGACTTCAATCCCTGGTAAATACAAAAAATATTTCAAAGATCACTACTTTTCGAAATCTCTCTGCAACAGTTTGTTAAATTATGAAATTAAATTAAATAGAGTTTGTTTGACATGGATTGAATTCTGAATAGAAATTATGTTAGGCACATTTATTTATGTATTGAATTTGAATGGGATGACTTTTGAATGGTTATTACGTCACATTATTTATTTTTTGATTTTTCTTATAATTTGCAAATTACAGTAGATTCTGATTTGAACATATATGAAAACAACCTTTCCTGTTCATACCTAGAACCAAAAACCATGTTTAGATATTCCCTGAAATAATTTATTATTGCTTATGCCTCTTACGCGGTGTTCTATGTTTAAGTAAAAAAGAGTGAGGTTAATTAAATATTTTTAACACATCTGAAACTGTTAGATTTCAAAATATAAAAAAATGATAAATTGCAAACGTAAATTTTTTTCAAAGCAAAAAGGATATTGAAAGTTATAAGACTTATCTAGTCACACCGCATAATCATAGTTTTGTTTTACTAACTCGATTCGTTTAGCTTACTTCATTAATAATTGCTAATAAAAATTAATACTACACCACACAAAAAAACGACAACTAAGTTTAAAATTAAACTTAACCTTATAATGCACCTTTTATATCTGAATCAAGTTCGCAATTTACAATAGTTAAATGTGTAACTACATTGTAAGTTATAAAAGAAACTATTAGCAAAAAAAAAAATAAAAGATCAGATATATATATATAATATTTGTTATAGATATACATATATAAAATATGTATATATAATATAAAATGCTATGAGTCGTTAATCTATACAATTACATGACATTGAGCTCATGTCGCTTTACACGTTTAAAATTAATCCAATTATGAAAAATAATTTTTTTATATATGGCAAATGTGACTAAATTTCATACGTTTATCGAGATGTACTCGAAAATGAGTTAAGTACAATAGTCTAAACATCCATTAAACTGCTTAGAAACTTCTTCTGAAATTCAGGTGCTTTCAAAAAAACATTGTATATATGAAATAAAATACTAATTAAATACAATAGTTATAAAAACGGCAATTTTTTTGTTAATTATTTGAAAAATATAACTAAACCCTACTCGCTAAACAAGATAGACCTAAGTATGACTTAAGCAGAAAAGTTTAAATATACTGTTAAATTAATTAAAATTTTCTTTTTAAATTCAATTAAGCATTATCATTCTTACATGTATTTAATAAAAGTAATGTTCAATTAAAATTTAACAAATATATTTCGCAAAGTTATTTGGAGAATCGAACGCAGTAAGTATAACATAAAACTCTTCAATCAATTGTGCACATTCATTTGCTTCTTCTTCGTTTGAAAGCACAATGTACACAAATTGTCGTGTATTGTGAGGAGATGTTATTCATTTTAGAGTACGTGTTGTCAACTGAGTTGCAAAAAAGTAAATCCTGTGCAGCTGATTTTTTTCTCTTTTATGTCCTCCCTTCAATTAAATAGATTATATGTATGTATATATATATAAATGCATATACCGGCACATACATTTTTTTTTGCAGCATCTTATTAGAAAATTATTATATTTAACAAATTGTTTAATACGTTAAATAATTTAAACTTTAATATAAAATATACGAATTCTATATTTTTAAAGGAAAGCAATCAATTTTGATACAATTAATTTTGTTAAAAACTTTTGATTTGTGAAATAGTAACTTCTTTAGCTCTATAATCAATTATTTATGCAAATAAAACAAAAAAATATAGAAATGGAATAATCCTTCATATTGCCATGTTTTTTTTTTCTTAATATGACAGATGCCATCGGTCTTACATTGACTCTCAGTTCGGTTATTTCTAAGAAAACATGCACGTGGTGCATACAGACATCATTTCACAATTTAGTAACCACCTTTAAACTTCCAAAAATTGTTGATTCTGGGAATAGCAAAAAAATATTTAAATTAATGTCTAAAAAGTTAAAACGTTTAATTTTAATTTAAAACAAAAGAATCGCGCGTTAGATGATTCCCAAAAACATGTAAAATGTGTACTACATACATATGTACATATGTTAATATATTTAATAAATCCATTTAAACAATATTATTTAAAAATTTCTGGTGCTGCAACACCTGACTCCTCGTTCTATTAAAGTTATACAAAAGGGGTTATACAAAAATAATTCCACCGCAGTATCTATACCAACTATACGGTATATGTATATATATATAATAGGCGCACCCAGGGCCGATTTTGGGGGGCCGCTGATATACTGATATGGTATTATTATATACATATTTTAAAGTGTGCTAAGGCACCCCTCTTTAGTACTTTTTTCTTCCAATTTTTTTGTTTATATCAACTAGTATATTTCACCCCTAGTTCATTGAAAACTTAAAAATTGAATTTTGTTCACAAAAAAAGACAACTCATTTCACCATGAGTTGAAATATTGTAACCAAACTAATATTTTTAAATAATGCTAAAAATATTTATGGTGCGGTTTAAACTGCTGCTGGTGTAGGTAAGGGGAGCTGAAGGTCCTCAAAATAAATGCCAAATGGTCTCCATGGTGGGTTTATATATTATATATTATTATAGGCTTTTTGAAGTGCACCAAAAACTTATATTACCCCGGTCGCCAGTTATGGACTTCATTGTATGAAGTGTGAATGAAAATTTAGAATAAATAATAGAGAATCTTGAGCATAGAGAAATCTTGAAAAAAAATAACCATTTTTAACTATGAGTTTTATACCTATTTTAAAGTCAGTTCTATATTTCATAGAAAAATCATATTAAGCGATAGAACTAATTTTTGTTTACATAGCTGTTAAAAAAAATTGTTATTTTATTTAAAATAAAGAGAATCCCACTGATAAAATACATCTATATCTATAAAAACCCACTTGATATTCAAAAAATACATCTACATCAATAAAAATAATCAATATATTGCAGTTTACGGACTGGAGACGCTATAGGAACATATATAGATTAGATTATATATAGAAGTAAATAGAAAATATTTTTTTAAATGACTCCCACAGCCATTTTTTTACAAAATAATATTTTGGTTACTTATTTGAAACAGGCATTTGCCCCATTGTGCCTATGACGACAGTCATGACTGCCTGTTATACTTCACACAATTAAGTTTCCTAACTACTTAACAATATGAGATACATGAGTCACCTGAATTCCTGGTAATTTGTTTAGAAGATATTGTATACATCTATCTATATTCTTGCTCCACAGTAATGCTAACAGTAAACCTTGATATAGACTTTACTCATAAAGTCAATTATTCATTATATAGTTATTTATTATTACATATAGTAATCACAATCTCCCCTCTCTCTCGCACTAGTGCACAATTTTGGTTTAATTAAATTTGTTATATAAATCTCTAAACCTTCTGATTTTTCAACTTCTCTTTTTTCCTTAAAACCTGGTATGGGGTTGTAATATTGGGCTTATGTTATCCAACAGTATACTTTTGCCAATTTTGCTTTCCTAAGAGATAGTTTTAATAGGTTCATGTCAAGTTGCGATGCTTTCTACTTATTAAAAACTTTAATGTAATGTAGTAATGTAGTCTACTGCACAGATATTATAGTGTTAAAGATATTGATTTCTATCGACAAATTTGCTATTTTAATCATATATGTATGTATGTACTTTAAATAAGCATTTGCTATTATGTCTACTCCTCACGAGTACCTTTTTTTTATTTTTTAATTAATATTGTTTGTTCTTATAGATTAATTTAAAACTAAAAATAGTTTAAAATAAAAATCTTATTAGTTAATTATCTCTACCGTCTCTCAATCATTTGCCATTTATGAAAAGGTAGCTAAAACCCTTTCATAATTCACAATTCTTGAGAAATGTTTTCAATAAAGGCGCTAGATACTTCTATCCAATAAAAATACTCTTTGAAATGTCTTCTAATTTCTATTAGCTACTGTATGTAGCTCCATATATGTATACTAATTTCCTATACTATAGAAAAACCATTTAGAAAAATTTAGAGATAGATATATACATAGATAATATATACAGTCAAACTTCCATAACTTAAACTTCTACAAGTCGAATTTTCTATAACTCGAACTAAATAGAGTGCAACAGGGTTTAGAGAGCAAATTAAATACAATTACAAAACAATTCTTTAATCCGAAGTCTTCATAAGTCGAACCTTTTCTTTGCAAAATGGTACTTCGAGTTATGGAAGTTTGACTGTATATATAAGAAAATATGTTGGTAGTATGACACTAATATTTAATTAAAAATCTTAAAAAATTAATTAGATTTTTTTTTATGTACATACATACATATAATGTATATATCCATTGAAAAGTAATGAATGAAGAGTTTGTGTAAAGTATCCTTTGTACTCAGGTATGTTTACCGAATGAGTTTTTTTAACTATTGGCGCTATATACACGGTGAACATATATATTTTTATATTTACATTTTTTAAATCTTTAATGCATTTTCAAAAAAAGATTACCTTTGATTGCTGATCCGTTTTGTGTTTATTGTCAATGACAGACTTAGTTGCCTGCATTTTTAGGATACTACGCACAGCACGTGTATTTATGTTATTATCAAGCACTGCAATTCATCTTCCGTATTCTTTTATGGTAAATACTTACTCTTCTCCATATAAGTAAAATAAGTATATACATATATACACTTACACACCATATATACACTAACATCCTTCGTGTGGTTCTTACGGATAATGCCTTTGAATTTGAATTTCAGTAAGACAACTGAACGAACAGCTGCTATTAATGCGGCATTAGAGTATTTTAACACCTGTACTAAATTGTTGCAAATGTTACCATAAAATACTCAAATACCAAGTTTCTCTTTTAAAGTAATTTTATTATTCTGTATGAGTTTTGGAATATGATTAAGAAAAGTGTTATACACGATGTATAACAGTTTTGGTTTCTCTGTGTTTGGTTTTGTGTTATGTGTAATTGAGTGCACGTTATATTTGAATAGTTGTATAGTTGTGGTTGATGTATTTTACATATTATTTCTTTGATAAATGTTTTATATATATATATAATGTATATTTGGAGAAATGACATATTATTTTTGAAAATTTTGTGTTTATTAACTGAAACATTTCATATGCTTTTTTTTGTTACAACACAACCAACAATTAATATATAAAAATTTTAACAATTAATTTCTCTTAATAATTAAATGTCGAAAACATTCAAACTTATTTAATTTTAGTAGTAAATAATACCATTTTGTAAAGTTTGGTAAATACTAATATATAAAAACATTATTATTATTACAGATACAGTTTGTTTTTCAAAATTTGTTCTGTGTTATCATTGTCATAAAAATAATAGTAAATTAATTAAAAACAACTTTAATATAAATATGTATGTATAAATTATTTTAGTATATAATACTAAATTTAAATAAAATTATTTTATTATTTTTAAGGCATTTGGATAGTGCATTTATGGTATCAGACATTTGGTTATATGCTACATATATGTATCTTATATGTATATAGGTTATATATTTAAATACTTAATTTTTTAAAATGCTTTAGTTTAAATGCATTGTTTTTTTTAATTTTTATTAAACAATAAAAATATGCGCACAGCAAATGATATATTTTCGGGTAATACATATATATACTATTAATGCCACATTTAAAGCGAGATAAGTAAATTTGTTGTAAATAATAGTACATAATTTATATTGGATTTATAGGAGAGTTTTGTTTGTAATTTTATCCGTCAAAAATTCTCATTTTGCATTAAAAGCAATAACAATTGACAGCTAAAATTGCAAAATCTCGTGTGAATCCAGTATAAAGATATAGTTTGCAATTTACAAAAATCAAATGATAAAAGTTCTTAGATAACAGATTATTGTATTTAAATATAATAGTCACTTCCGTCATAATTGACGTTAAATAACAACTTTTATTATACATATATTATATATAATGTATACATTATATATAACAGATGTTATACTTAATGGACCAGAAATTTTATTTATTCTTAACCGGGACTCTATCTATCTATTTTCTATAAATCTATTTTGCTGTTTCTATACCATGTCCTGTAAGCCAACTCGAATAAATTAAACCTGTGATGAAATTAGATTAATTTAGATCTATTTCTAGTGACAAATCTATTAATATATCTTTTATTAATTTTTATTTATTAATTTATTTTACTACCTATAATTGCATAATTATTTAAAGTTTAAATTATTTGGGAATATAAATCTTTGTCTGAATAAAAAAGAATGGTGACTTAAGAAATGTTTTATGCTTTCATATATGGAAGTTCGAACTAGAACGTAATAAAACAAGGGTATGTGATGACAGACATAAGTAGATGGACATTGTTTCTTATAAAATTCAGAACTGTTTCAGTTTTTTTCTGACAAAATTTCTTTCAGGTAGGCATAGATCCGAGACAATACTTTTTGTTATATTTTGTTGTTACACTCTCTATTTATTCCATTAAAAAGATATGCTGAGCTTTAAACTATACTTCTGTAAAATCACCTGATTATCTAATTCACAGACACTGTTGAATAAAAGTGCTTCAGAGAATATAGCGTTTCACGAAGAGAAGGAGCAGAAGTACACTTATGAGACGTGCGGGGAGTTTATCACATATGCAACAATTAAAACTTATAATATTCTCTAATGTTATAATAATAAGTTAAACAGAACAAAGATAAAATGGAAATTATATTAGTTATATCTTTAGATATTGATTTACGATATACCTTGTACAAGGATAGATCTTGTATTATAACTAATAATTTCATTTTTATTATTTATTAATTTATTAATTTTAAATTTACATTTAATTTAAATTGTGTATAACGTACAGTGTACAGAAAACCAAGTCTCAAACGATATCGCAATATATCTGTATTATAAATATTATACTTGATTAAGACTGATTGATTTATTTTCAAAGAGCAGAAACTATATAAGTAGATTATTCCATTTTAGTATTAAAAAGTATTAAAATTTGTATATATTTAATCTGTAAAAACTAAACATATAAGTCATTATTCGTTTCACAAACATTTATATTACGATTATAAGAAAAGGAATTATTTACTTATCATAGCTCATAAGTGGCATTAATATAAACCCGCTTATAATTAATATAATACGTCATAAATAATGTGCTCATGCAAGAATATATAAAAATTAAATACTACACAAATAATTTAATGACGTCAAAGTCATCAGGACGTATATATATAGCCTATGCAACTGTAAAGTACATATTACAACAAACTAACACAAATAAACACAACAAAAACAATATATTAAACTTACGGTAGAAAGGTCGAAAAACTAGGTTAGTTGCATAAATGAATTAATAAAGTTCTTTTTTTTTTTTTTAGATATTTTACGAACAAAACATGCCAGGCGAAAGTGGGTGGGTGAAATGAAAACAAAAAATCAAAAAACAAAATGACAAAAGTAAGGATGATGAAATTCATAAAATACATATTTAAAGGAAAAAAAATAAAAGCTGAATAAAAGCTGAATAACTCAATTTTGTGTGACCTTTAACTCTAAACGTTTTTTAAGCATTTGAAATGTTTGATGCATTGCACGCATTTGAAAGCGTATGGATGTAGTGACGTCACGCTGCAACTGCTGTACTTCCTGTATGTCCCTGCGTAAATTTTGATATTCATTTTTTACCTCGGTCATTGATTCCAAAAGCTCCATAACACAAATGTCATCCATTTCGTCTAAGCTTGTTTCATCCAAGCTACGTTCCACTTCATGTAATTTATGAGAAACAGTATACAATTGTGTGCCAGCATTGGCAATCTTAAATATTTTATGTAAATGTTTTTAATATAGAATTTATTATTATTATTATTATTAAAATATATTTATATATTATATTAAAGCACATTATTAAAATATGTATTGTATATAAATATTAAACATAAAAAGTATGCGTAATTTATCATAAAAATAGGTCAATAATAAATAAGCGGTATTAAATTCACTTCACAAAAAAAAAATAATAATAAAAATAATACATATTTTCATATTTTAAAATTATCCATAACAAATTTACCGATCTTTCCAAATTAGTTATATCCCGATAGCCATCCATATTGATTTTATTGAAATTATACTAATTATTTGCAAATTATTATTTTCGTTTTTATTGTTTTTGTACTTTCGGGTAGAAATTTCGTTAACAATGTGTGATATGTTGTGTGTTGTATAACTTTTTTATATTTGATATATAGAGAAATTTAAAATATTTTTTATATATTATTAACTAAGATTAACACATTCTTATTCAAATGATTAAATTATATTTTTATTTTTATTAACAATTTATTTACGTCAAATACGATTTCTTACGATTTTAACTTATTTTCACATGAAGCTGTCACAACTTTGATTGAAAGTTTATTAATGCTTTCGTGCCACCCAAAAACTGCGTATTTATACGATTTCAGCTTTATCCTTCCTTTCGCGTGTGCATTTGTGTGTGTTTGTGCCATTTTCATTTACTCAATTCAATCTCTCCATACTCTCATACAGGATATTTATTTTTTTCAGTTACAACACCGCTCAAGCACAATTATATTGGGGTATTAATGCAGCATCTAACATACGAAATAGAATAAAGTACATAGTAAAGTTCGTTTCTCCCTTGAATTTGAGTTACTAAAGAGTTCAGGGTGGATTCGATAATCTTTAACAAAACTTTACCAACAATTTTTGATGCAATTTAAAATGTTTTTAAAACTTATTAAGATAAATATTTAACTGTAATAAAACTTCTATTAATTGAATTTGTAAAATAATAATAAATATTATATTATTGAATATAAGATAATCTTTAACAAAACTTTATTACATTTTTTGAAAGAACTTTTGTTCTTTCTTTTGTACTTATTAAGATAAATATTTAACTGTAATAAAACTTCAATAAATTTAATTTAATATTATATTATTATATATTTAATATTCTTCAACAAAGCTTTATCGACATTTTTTGAAACAATTTAAAAGTCTTTTTTACCTTTTAACATAAATATTTAACTCTAATAAAACTTTAATAAATTTAATTTGTAAAATAAGAATATAATTATTTTATTAAATATTTAATAATCTTTTACAAAACCTTACCGACATTTTTTGAAACAATTTAAAATATCTTTTGAACTTATTAAGATAAATATTTAACTGTAATAAAACTTCAATTAATTATATTTGTAAAATAAGAATAAATATTATTTTATTAAATATACGATAATCTTTAACAAAACTTTACCGACATTTTTTGAAACATTTAAAAAACAATATTAAATGAAATAATAAATTCAATTTGCAAATTAAGAATAAACATTATATAATTATATTTAATACATTAATTTAATATAATAATAATATAATACTGTCCTTTTAGAATAATTCAAATTTTTTTATTTTTATTCTTGCTATTCTTGTTATATTTGCTTTAGTTACCAACGCAAAAGTGTTTCTTATTATAAGGTTAATAGCATTTAAGCTAGCATAGGATAAAAAGATACACAGAATGTACTGCATGACACTACTGTAGGTCAGTTTTTATGTGTAAAAGTTTGTTTACAAGGAAATAGGGCGTATGGCTTTTCAATAAAATGAAATTTTAATTTCAATAGAATACTTGTTATTTCCGGGAAAGCTTCTCTTTCTGTTACCTCAAAGAAATGGAAATGATTTGATGTAATACAATAACCTCTATGATAAAATAATTTTATGTACCCACTTTAAGTTGGATAAAAACTGTGTAACCTTTTGTATTGAAAATAAAAATATAAATAATTATAAAAAATCAAAGTGTCAAACCGTGACTTTATAATAATCCCTACTCTTTACGAAATTTTTATGAAGATTTTTTGTATTATTAATAAATTAATCAAATAAACAAACTTGTATTTATTGTATACATATATATAAATTTATACAATAAGAATAACGTATATAACTTAATTAAATAATATGTTAACTTAATTCAAATAATTTAATATTCTTACTGATTATTATACCGATTGATTATAATATTCTCTACACTTTATTTTTAAATTCTAATTATTTGAATTCAAACAGCATTCATATATACTAACATATATTTACTTATTTCCTAAACATATTAAAAAAATATATTTTTTCAGATTTTTTATAAAGTTAATAAGAACAATTCTTTATTCTGCGGTTATTTTATTCTTAAACAGGTTAATATCCTGTTAATGTATCCTTTCATTATTAAGTAAGATCCTAGAAAGGGTATAAAATAATAGAATAACGTCTCAAATATCAGGAAACTATTTCGGTTTCAAAGTGAACATAATGTTTTGTAAGATCAAACTTCAAGAACAATATATTTACAAGCATAAGTTATACATAAAAAGGGGAGCGATAATGCGGTTCAAGCCATATTATAATATTTCGAATCTTTTCACATTAGATAAATTGGATTATCTTATTAAATTTTTTCAAACATACTTTGAATTACCTCTTCGAAAAACTACATCTTTAATGAATCTCTGTATATACCAGTGATTAGCACAATATTAAAAGATATAATAGCAACATTCGATTTTTTGTGACACGAAGCTTATTAATATTATTTCTTTTTGCATAAAATGATAATACAAACACTGAAACTATCTTCATCGATTATAGATTATTTTGTGTTTATGGTGATAAAGCTTATAAAAACCATGTGATTATTGTTGCAGGTTGTTTCCAAGATTCTTGATTTCTACAAGCCCATTTATATTGGCATCTATACCACTTCAGTCATAGCGAGAAATACATCTTTGAAGATGACACAGCAGTTCTTTTAATTCAATACGCAATCGATTTTTTTTTCACTCATAAGTTTTTAAAATAATAGAGATATTTTAGTTACTAGTTTTATAAATTATTTTAAGAATTTTAATATGGGTGTCCACATTAAACTTTTTAAATCAGTTATTTTTATGTTTTTTTCTGGCTTCTAAAAGAATTGTAACTACTTTCATTAATTAATAAATAATATATTTTTTTAAAATTCAAATATATAATATAAATTATTTTTACACCACAGTAGCAACTTTTCCTGTCTGCACAAACAAAATAAAAATAAAATTTAAAGAAGACATCTAATAAAATATTTAATAGACTTATTCAGCACTATGTCTTCCTTATTTACTATAACTGTAATGTAAATGGCATAACCTCAAGATTGAAAGTTGAATGGCTTTTATTGATGCGTTGAATCCTGCGACGCCGTCGTGCACTTTGTGTACTTTACACTACAAACCCACTTATTTGAACAAAAATAATAATGAATGCACTTTTCAATTTGTTTGCTTTCCTCTATTAAATTTAAATTACAAGTGCAAGTAAGTAAGCAAAGTTAATACCTCATTGCTTTTTGTTCACGCGGAAGTGATTTTAATTTTATGTAAACAAGCATGTAAACAAGATGAGCTTTATTTGTAAAAAGAACCCTTTATTCACAAAATATATTCAACATTAATATATATTCTAATTAATAGGCACTTAGTAATTAAACTAAATACAATATATATTTTTTTGTGAAATATAAATGTAAAACCATTTGCTAAATTATATTGTATATTTTACTAAAGGAAGAAACAATTTTATTTGCCTATATCGATATACACTCATAAATTACTTTCTTTGTCATGGAATTTCATATAATATAGTTCATAGTCAACATTTAAAATCTGATGTACAGCATTCTCACATACGAATGTAAGGTTTCGCTTTTTGTACTCTAAATATATTTTCAAAAAATTCCGATTTGTTTCATGAACTTTTGGATGTTTTAAGTATTCTTCGATAGGCATCCATTGAGCTTTTGTGATTTCTCTTTCTTCAAGATGGATATCCATATTTTTGGGTTTTAAAGCAAGTACTGCATAAATATCGGAACAGTCAAAGTTACCAATATGTGTATGTCTAAAACTAATAACTGTTATGAATGTTGAATCAATACCAGTTTCTTCGAGTACTTCGCGTATTGTAGCATCAACAAGTTTTTCTTCTACAATTAAATATTATCTATTAAGAAAAATATAATTTTATTAATGAATATATAATTATTCTTACTTGGTTCAACAAAGCCTCCAGGTAGTTTCCAACTATTTGGTATTTGAGCATAACGATCCCTTACAACTAAAATTTCATTTTTATCGTTGATGAGTACACCACCAACACCAAGCATTGTATGAGCATATTTTGGTAAATTCGGTTCTTCTTCCGTTGGCAACCAATAGCATAGCATAGCATATCCCGGTTTGGCGTGGTGGTAATCGAATCCGAACTAAATAAAAAAAAATCATATACGATTTTATAAACAAAAATTTGTATAAAAACTATTGTTTTCTGTACTTAATGTTTACTTAAGAAACCACGATAAGAAACATTATTAAATTTGACGCATAAACTTTTTAGAAATAAAATTTAAAAAGGATGCAATTGGTTGACCATATATCAAAACTGATAAAAAAAACTCAACGATGAGAATTGCAATTTTTTTTGAATTATAAAGATATTTGCCTAAATTTGGGTCCCATCATATTTACGAATATTTATTTAAAATTTTCGATCATTCTGATTCTTATACTTATGTATAGGGTTATTCATTTTATGGTTACTATAAATTTACCCACGCTTCATTTTGAGTCCATAAATATTTTTTGAGATAAGTTAATTAAAACTATTTCTTTCAATCGATTACAGTATTTGGTATGATAAAGAAATCTACAAACTTGTTAAAAAAAAAGTAGCAACAAAGCATGAACTTCTAACTTTATACAAACAATTCTACTGATTAAACAAAACTAAAAAATTCTACTAATTAAACAAAAAAACTAAATTTATCACAACTTACTACTGTATTCAGTGAATGATAAAATGATGAATGACGTAAAACATCCAGTTAATGAAAGTACCTTTACTAAGCGTGGAATCCAGTCGGCGTGCTCAGTCTTCACTTTAAACCAAATACACCTACGTTTACAATCTTTCCAATGTATCAGAGATTCTATAAATATTAAAATTATTTAACTTGCATTTCCTTTATATAATATTACAATTTACTTTTTAGCTTGCACTCAAAATCTGTATCGTCTGCTTCGTATTCAGCCTCGGATTCAACCGTTATACCATTAAACCGATCCGAACTACCAGAAAACGTTCCCGGTGGCGCATCCATAATTTTTTCGTATCTGAAAAATAATGAAAATAAGATTTTAGAATATAATCCTTCATTTTTTAAGACAAAATTATAAATTTTAAAACAAACTTGTGGAAAACGCTATAATTTGGTTGAATATTTGTTTTCTTTTGAACAGTATCATCAGCATTAGACGAAAAATTTTTAATCCAGGCCAATTTGAAAATATTAGGAATGTAGTTCGTTTTATTTCTTTTTAGCGAGCAACAATCGTACACCCATGGAAAAACGCTACGAAGACTTCGAGGTTTTATATTACTTTTTAAAAGAATTGTTGACATTAGAAATTTTGATTTACTGCCCACATATATGTAAATAACCTTTGTACACGACTTTACTGAATATTAATTTCAGTGATTTTTGAACAAACAAAAATTTGCATATTCGTATTTAATATTTTTACTAAAAGGTGTTTTAAGTAAATTAAAATAAGTATGGTTTAATATCATTTTTTAGCTTACTGTTACAAATTACAAGAGATAAGATTTATTATTCGATAAGACAATTGTAGCAACACAATAAAAATCACAGCAAAAAAGCATTGACAACAAAACCATATGTTTGGACTGTCAAAATATAAAGCGTCCAAATTTATTTCATGTCATCAACAAGTTAGTTTACACTGAAAAAAATTTATATTTTTTTTTACAACTTACTTTTAAGATAAAACTGAAGGTTTCCCTTACATATGGCTAGGTCCGGCAATATTCAAATAATCCACCATGGAGCCCTACGAACAGATGAGTTTGGTATATATCCTAAATAAAAGTGTAACAAAATTAATATTGTTTTAATATCAGTCTTAAGAGTTATAACAAAACGCAGTATATGCACTATTTGCCCAGTAGGAGAAGTTTTTCTAAAATCCCTAAACATTATCAGAATTTGTTCTTTCAAATTTTAATTTTAAACTATTAACGTATTCACTTTCATGTCGGAAATTTCACCATTAAGAATATACCATGTCACAATAATCCTCAAAGGATTCAGTGACGCGGTGACAAGTTCCCAACCCATTTAAAAAAAAAATACCATAGGATTTATTACGTCCAAACATACAGTACAACAGGATAATTATTAAATGGGTAATATTGATCTGTACTTTCTAGTATAATGCGTCACAATATATTATTTAAAAAATTATCACATTTAGGGCTTAAAGCAATTAATTTGACAAAAGTGAATTCACACAAAATGGCGGTTTTAACAAATTTATACACTTTTCCATTACTTATTTACATTATAATATTAAAAACAATAGCGCTTGCGTACTATACAATCAGTGATAAATGGAAAAGAATTTGTTAACTTATATTGATATTAGTTGTCGAAGATTAGTGATGTTAGATATAACCCGAATCGCTTCTGGAATATTATCGCTTGACGTGTCAAACCATAGGCAAAAACTTCTAAATAATACATTAGTTTGTTTTGTGAAATAATGAAATTATAATGTAGTAAATCAAAAAAAAATTAATTTTTCCATTTACATCGATAAATAATTTCCAACTTTTTCTACTGTTTACCAATGATGAATAGTTTTAATTAATCTATGTAGTGAATAAAAGAGTCAGTTTAAGGAATTTTATTTATAGAACCAGATACTTTCTGCAAATAAAAATATAATATATATTCAAATAAGGATTAAAATCCCATAAGGCTCTGAATTCAAATGTCTCTAACAAATAACGCATTGAATTTAATATATATATAAAACACGCCTTTTCTCCACTTCATCGTAATATTTTCCAGAAACTTTAACAAAACAAGTACAGCATTAATAAAAGCTTATTACTTATTTCACCAAACAATTCTTAATGGAAATTATAGTCATAGTCAAATCTACTGAATAATAAAAAAACGGACCTGATGATATCTTGAACAAAAATTTAAATTTTCATTTTTGTTTGACAATGATTTTATAGTTGTTTTTCCATATTTTTTCAAAAAAATATATAACATTTATATTTTCATATGCTTAATATAATAAATGTCTAACCAAAAAAACTAAAAAATAATAAATACAGGCGTTTCTTATAATTTCTTTTTCTTTAAATTAAAGATTTTGTTTATACAAAATCTATAGATATATCCATACCTACTTTTTCTTCTATAGAAAGTGTGTCATTACTATGTTAAAATTTTTTTTACATTTTAATACTAGAAATTCATTGGAAATGAGGAAATATGATAGTCTTGTTCGTTTACAATAACAAATAAGAAATAAAAAATAATATATATAGTTATTTTTTTAATTTTATGTATATTTTATAACATTAAACGAGATACGATGAAAGCATTTTTTACATTTTGAGCATAATATTGCATCATTAAAATTTGTATCAACGTTAATTTAGAGAAAACTATTACTTAAATGCCTGCACGTTCCAAAGCACTTAGTTGTTGCCCTAAACGCTCTTCTTTTGCTTTTCTTTCTGAGCTTAGTTTTTTTGAACATGTATAACTATTTAAAAATGTTTGAACATCAATTTTTCCATTGAGAAACTGTTCTACATGACGATCACAATCCGTATCAGAATTAGACGCAGCTATTTGCAGCAGTTCCTATTTAAGAAAACACTTTACAATATTATTATATTCCAAGAGTTATTAACGATTTTAAATACCCTTATATGCTGTGGAGCAAAATCCTCTGCCTTTTTTAAGTACTTTTTATTTAATTGATCACATTTTTCACCCAAATTTTTAAGCGCTGTTACATCGTCACTTAATTTTCTTTTAAGTTCAACTAGGTGTGATTCTTTGGACTCATTTTCACCTAAAATGTTTAATAAAAAATTAAATAATGTGCATATATGTTTGATTAGTACTTACGTGATATAATTTCCACTTGATTTATCATTGAATCAAGGTCCTCATTTAAATGTTGTACTACTGAAAGTTCTTCGATAAAATCTTCAAAAAACTGTGGATCATTATCTAATTGTTTAAGTTCATCCAAAGAAAGATTTGAGAGATTCGGTAAGTTGCTATCATTCAATTTACTAGAAAATTCAATTGGAGAACTATCCTTGCTATTGTCAAGCGATTTGGCTGTTGGCATTTGAGTTGAAAGTATTGTTGTGCTATTTCCTTGCTGCGGTAAGTTAACTGGGCTGATAGAATTAATTACTGTGGGTGTATATCGTTCAAATTCACGTATTACAGCTTGAACTATACGGCCCAAATCAGAATGATGTGAATACTGAAATTTATTTTTTGTTTATTAAAAAAATATTAGTAATTAATTTTATGAAATAAAATGTTAAATTCTATTTTAAATCATTGTGAACATGAAAGCTTTGAGCGAGATATATGATGACGTGCGCAGCAAGGATCGAAGTTAGTTGAATGTCATGAATGATGTAGCCTTGAAAACCTTTTAATTTGAAAGACAGATTAGCCTTCATGACATTCAGAAAACACATACAATTTTTAAAATCATTAGAATGAGGGTATTTGTACTTGAACATTTCAACTAATAAAAATTTCAAATAAAAATTAAATTTTTATATATAATAAATTGCATACATTTACTAAACCTGGTGCAGCTTCTATTTCTCCAGTAGTAACGTTAACCCAATGATGCTGTATAATTGGTGATATTGAAAATTTTGGCCTTTCATTTGGATAATTTGCTCCTAATTGAACAATTAAAGTGAAATTTCTACCTCCGGATTCAAAGGCCACATTATATTCCTCAAATTCTGTGATTTCAGTAACACTTAAAAGAATGTTAATTAATATCTAATTATTTTAATACAGCGGGTTATTCAGCAACACTTACTTATCATTAAATATTTTTAAGGTGTCAATTTGTCGTTTTCGGATGTCTAAATTACCAAATTGTTGGCGAGGAATCATATTTTTTTGTTAATTATTTTATGCGGCGATTTCTATTGCATTCTATTATATAAAAATCATTTAGTTTTATTTTTTTTTTCACTAGTATTAACTTGACAATAAATTATTTTTTAAACCACTCTCCCACAGATCTGTTAAAACGACACAGCAGAATTAAATCCGAAATTATTCTGACCAAAATAATATATTGAAGAAAAAGTGTTGCCTTTGCAAAAAATAACTTTGCAATTCAAAAAAAAAAATATTGTGTCCTTTATAGTATATCCATTAAATTAAATGTTTATTAAGTTGCAAATAATATTTTGTCAAATAAAACTTAACTTCTCAATCACATTTACATTCACATTTAAAAGAAATTCACTATTTTATAGTAAATAATTTTGAATAGTTTCGTATATTGTAACAAACATAACATGTACAGCGGCTACAAAAATAGGCACAAAAAATTCCATATCTGTTTGACAATAATTCAGCGGCTTTTTACATTTTTTGTTGTGGCATATAATAAATTACATACGAAGTTTTATATAAGAATAACAAATTTTATTCTTAATATGGCGTTATTTGAAATAAAGTGGTTACGGCGTTTGGTATGTTGAACGTAAATTTTAAAAATTCAATAATTTATATGTCTATAATTTATATTAAGATAAGGCACAAAACCAGTCCAATACCCGCTGAAAATGCAGCATTATGGAAACGTCGGCTAAGCATTGGTTATGCGCTTTTAGCTTGGCAAGCATTTGGTCTTGTTTTGTATATGGTATATTCGGGACGCAATGACTGGCCTAAATACTACGGTTTGAAAACGGACGAAGAAATAGAATTGACTCCTGCCCAAGAGTTTTCAAAGAAATTAAATGTAACTAAAGGAAAAATTATACGATATTCTGGTTTTTCACGTGTCGGCGAAGAAGATTTTGATAATGCTGATAGAAAAAATTGATGAATAAAATTACAATAAAATGTTATTATATAGGTATATAAATATAGTCATATTGTAAATATTTAAATAAAGACTAAAATATCCAACGTCAAGTAGATTTTTAACAAAAAACGTAGTTCGATATTTGAAAAAACTGTCAAGTGTATATATTTGTAAAATAAGAATAAATTATAGTTAAAAGATGCGTTATTTATAAATAATTTTTCATATAAAGAATTGTGTTTTTTTTGTGTTGCATTATACACATCTCCGTAAATACTGAAAAATAAAAACAGCTGATTATGTAAATCAGTTTTGTCAATATATAGTTGTCAAACTAGCAGTTGCGCGCATTTACTCTGACAGCGTCTGAAAGGATGGCATATAAAACACATTTAATCAAGTTTCTTGTAAAGTTTTAGTTAAATAGTGAATTTGTTTAATAAGTGCAATACAATAATGAAAACATGTATACTTTGTAAGTCCAAAGAAAAGGATGATATTCGATATGGCGAATTTTTGACAAAAAAAGATGTAGGCGTTCATACATATTGTTTGGTATGAGAATTTGTTTTATAGTGTTTTATTCACATTTTATTATTTATTATATCATGTAATCAACTTACAGTATCTTTCATCAAATCTCTGTCAAAGTGGCAAAGATAATGAAGGCTTTTTAGGCTTTCTATTAAGTGATATAAGAAATGAAGTTAAACGCATAAGTGCCGTGAAATGTTGCTATTGTAGGGGCTACTACGCAAACATTGGGTGTTGCCATAAAAAATGTCGCCATACATTTCATTTGGTGTGCGGTGTACAGAAAGGAGCACAAAATGAATTTTGTGATACTTTTAGATCGTTCTGCTCATCGCATGTAAGGAAAGTGCGTTATCATCCAGGAGATAATGATGTGTGCCTAATTTGCTTAGAGAACTTAATTACACCATTAAAGCGTTTTGATCCAGTTAATATGCTGCGTGCACCTTGTTGTCAGAATGGTTGGTTTCATAAATACTGCTTGCAGAAGTGTGCCAAAATGTCTGGTTATTTTTTTAAATGTCCGCTTTGTAATGATACGGAAAAGATTAAATCGAACTTAAAAAAAATGGGTGTTTTTATACCAGATCAGTAAGTGTAAAATAAAAACATTTAGAATATCAGTGAAATTATATTTTTTTCGTAGAGATGCAGCATGGGAACTGGAGCCAGGCGCATTTCAGGATCTCTTAGAAAGACCTCGTACTTGTCAGGCCATAACCTGTGTAAATAAATCGGGAAGAAATAATGAATCAGACAGAAATCCTTTAAAAATATGCATTACCTGTGGATCAGTGGCAATTCATCAAAATTGTATGCGGTGTAATACGGAAAACTTTCAATGTGACGAATGTATTCAAATTGTTGGAAAAAGTGTGAAGAAGAGCAACCAAATTTACGATGAAAATTCAGATGTGGAGGTCTGTGTTACAGAAGATTCTAATGATAACGATATTCCAATGAGTATTAAATTTAAAAATGAAATTAATAAATCTCTTGAAACTCAAACATGTCATTTAAATAATGAACTGGTCAAATCTGACGGAGATGAAAAAATAATAGCGCCAATGAAGAGAAAAAAATTTCATGTTATTACTGATGATCTCAATAATGTAATTAACGATGATAAAGGTGTTTCTTCCTCAAGTGAAGAAGATTTAATTACATCATTTGTTCGCAAAAGAAATGTTATTTGTTCTGATGAAAGTAGCTGCAGCACACCACAAAAGAAAACAAGGAGGCAATCAACCACAGTTACTAATTCCAGAACTGATGAGAGTGATAATGAAATTAGGAATCCATTAAGTATTCCTAGCTTATTTTCATCAGATGAGGAAGAAGAAATAATTATGCCAATGAAAAGAAACAAATTTCATGTTATTACTGATGATCAAGACTTTTCATCTTCAAGCGAAGAAGATATAATTACATCATTTATTGACAAAAAAAATGTTATTCGTTCTGATGAAAGTAGCTGTAGCACACCACAAAAGAAAAAAAAGAGCCAATCAACCAGAGTTGTCAATTCCAGTACTGATAGTGATAATGACAATGAAACTATAGATCCATTGAGTCTTTCAATATCTTCCTATTCTCGTCACCGCAAAAAGGTATTACTGCAAGTATATACATATAATTAATTGTAAGAGACAAATATTTTATTATTATATTATAATAGAAAATCAATTGCAGCAACACATTAAACATACGCCGCCTTTAGCACAACTAGTAAATATTGCTAATGGTCAATCAGCTTCTAAATTAATGTTAATGCGGAGTGTTGATAACACAAACAAACCTGGTAATAAAAAAGAAAGTCATGGAAAATATATTGTTACTCCATTGCAACAAAAGCTTGAATTTGAAAACACCACAAACACATCTTCATATTTAAGTGAGATAAAAAAGCTTTCAGTTTCTCTAAAAAACGTTGAACATAATATTTGCAGATTGCCACAAAAATCAAGTACAGATTGCAAAACAAATAAGGAAAATATAGAATATATTGATCAAGCATGTTTTCAGGAAAACAAGCTAAATTCCACGCCAACAAAAATAAACTTTACTGATCACCAAGTATGTAATTGCAGTAAAAATAAAACAGAATTTACTTCTACTCAAGAAAATGCAAGCATATTAAAATCAATGTTAAAATTTAAAAATGTAACAGTTCGTTTACCGCGTTTATTGGAAAGTATACAAAAGACTGATGGTTCCAAAGAAAGCAATAATTCGTCAAGTTATTGCTGCTCTGAAGAGACCAAAAACACTGATTCATCCAACAATAATACGAGTAACAAAGGCATTCCAATTCAGACGAGTAATACAGTAAGACAATTACGATTGAGATCAGTGTGTGTGAAAAGGGTTACTGAATTACATAAAGATGAGAATTATACCCGAAAATCTTTTGATAACTCTGCTTTGACAAGAAATTCAGAACAAAGTAACAGTAAAGCAGAGAAAGTATCTAAAAATGTACACAATTGTTTTCAAGATAATATTAATATGAATTGCAAAAAAACACGTACAAGACGTTCAACTTCAAAAAGTGCTCCAATATCTCGAAGTGATGGTGATGAGCATGAATTATTTCTTTTTGAAACAAGTTGCATTGCAAATCGAACACGAAGAAAATCATGTGTTATAAAAGATAAAGCTGATTCAAAGATTTATGATGAATTTGAACCAAATAGCAGTAGGACTAGCAAGGAGAATAACTTTTCTACTTCAGAAACGGAGAGTTTTAAAAGCAATAATTATTCTTTAAAATTTTGTAATATTAAAATAGATAATCAAACAATAAATAAACACGTAAATGATTATCAAATTAAACATAACAGAAATATAACTACAGAAAAAGCAGTTCGCTTACAATTCTATACTGAACTAGATGCATATATGATGCCAAAATTTAGACGAGTAAATGAAGCACTAAAAAAGGTAGGTGAGCCTATTTAATGTGAATTAAAATTGTATTTAAAACATATTTCTTTATAATAAATAGTGATTTAACATTAACCTGGTTAAGTCCAAGTCCTAAGTGATTAAGTCCAAATTCAAATTTCAACAACAACAAATGCAATTAAATATCATGGGAGTAGAAGAAATTAAGTGCTACTTTTGAGAGACATATTTTCGGTACTGGAATTGGAAATCATTCTTAAATTTTTTACAAAATATAATAATTGAGAGCTTTTGTATTCAAAAGTTGTTGTATATACTTTTTAGTTATTTTAAAATAAGAAAAGTTATCCTTGTATTTTTAATGTTAAGTTCAATGTTTAAATATTTAATATATTTTTTGTGAACTACGATATAATTATATATACTAAAATATTTATAAACAAAATTATATTTGAATTTTCAGAATTTAAGATTTATACTTAGATTTTAAAATACTTGTTAATTATTATAAAACTTGTGAATATATATACAATACTCAAATTTATTAAAATGTGTTTCAAGTTCTTTTTAAATTTGTAGAAAAACAATATGATCATAAGAGTGGCTACACAACCAGAAAGTCACTTGGTACTACCATTTAGCGATGAAAACTTTATGTTTGGATTGGTTGGACTTGGCAACGAAATGTCTGTCTTATCTTGATCAAACATGGAATAAAATTCGATAAATTTTTATAGATTTATAGAATCAACTTGTTTGTAATAGACATTGGATGAATTTATTTCAAGATTATATTTCATTGAAAATATGTACACGATGAAACTCATTTACTCATTTATGGTGTTCTTTGGGCATGTAGTTTGGCATAATTAGGACATTCAAAATGTGTATAGAAGACGTTATTGAAAACTTTTATTCATTTAAAGTCTACCTGGGAGATTCGTGGTGTGGAGTATCAGAATAAAGTATTAACTTTAATCTTGGTCATAATGATTTCAGTAGTCATATTATTTTATACTTGTATATTTATTTATTTACACTAAGCTCTTTGCTCTTTGCCGATCGTGATCTTATAATGGGCATTTACGTTACGAGTAAATACTCAATATTTTTGCTTCAATTCTAAATATTATGCACTTTGTATTGAAAAAAAAATACTCGGTATCGAAAAACAAGTTGGTTAGTTGCAATGGCAGGTCAGCAGGTAGCTTTTCGCTGCCTTCAATTAGTGATTTTCTGTGGTTCCGTTATCACATTTTTTGCAATACACATTAAGATAAAACAAGGCAAACTAAATCCATCCCGTCGAATTTAGATAATTTAAAAGGTTTTTCGTTTTTACCGATGAAAAGTCTGACAAAAAGATCAAAAAAATACTTTTCTAAAAACGTATTTTCTCTGGAGGCCAGAGAAAAACAAGTACTTTGAAGTTTTAATGGAGAAAAATGTTCGCAATACGGACCTTTCAAGTTCATTTTATTCTACAAAATTTAATTTTTTGTTTACAATAAAAAAAAACTTCTTTATGTTTAATTTTTAAATTCTAAAACTGCTATTTTCAAAGTATTCGTGCGGTACTTCTACGTATCGTGATATCTCCAATCGTAAGCAATTTGAAATGTAGGCTACATTAAATGGATGTTGGATGGATATTTGATAATGATTTAAATCTTTTTTAGGAGCATGTGCAAATAGTTTATTTGAACTTTTTCTTGTTTACGTTATAAATTAAAAAACGTTATTTTCAATATATTTTTTTGCTTGTTAAGTTTATATTGAATTTGTATATCTTTATTGTCATATTCTTAATTTTAAACTTTTTCAATAGTTCAGTTCTATTATTTAAATTTTATTAAAACTATATTAATTTTAATTAACAGTATAGCAATAATGTAACAAATAGGGCTTCTTATTTACTTTCCACATTTAATTATATATAATGGATTTAAAATATTATATATTAATTATAATAAACATTTTGTACAATTTTATTATATATGTGATTATAAAATTTATTATAAATTTAAACACAAAAAAATGGAAAATATAAAAAAAATTATAATATTAAAAAATTTATAATATAAGAAATTAATAAAAAAAATTAAATATAAAAAAAAATTAACTAAAAAAAAGTAAATATAAAAATATTCAAAAAGAAAATAAGGATTATAAAATAAAATATATAAAATAATAAAAAATCAATTTGTATTCCTGAACCAAAAATAAATATTTTCATAATAACATAATAAATATTTTAATAAATTCTTATAAAATAAATTTAATATAGAATAATAATCTACATAATTATTTAAAATATTATATATTAATTATAATAAGTCTTTTATATATCCGAATATAATTTAATGTGTGTCAAAAATCAATATTATTTTTTATAATATTATATATTATTTATAATAAATATTTCATATATTGTATATATACATATGCATTTATATATTAATATATACTAATAATCCACATAATTATTATGTAGCATGTAGCTGTTTTATATGTAGTATTTATAAATAATATTTAGTCTGGCATCACTATTTTATATGTGCGAAAAAAAGTTTGAAAAGGGAGCAATTGACAAGAGGCTTTGAGCAAATTCTCAGTCAGTTTTCAATTACTATTTGGTGTGGAAGTGTTTGGTATTCTGATAAGAATTTTTAAACGAATATATTAACAATTGTAAAAATAACGGAAAATTTATTGGACAGTGTAAATTTGTTGTTAAAATTTTTAACAAAAATGTGATTACTATTAAATAGTAAAAGCTAAAAAGCGCTAACATAAAATACCGTTGTGAACTAAAATATATAGTGTGTCTTTAAATATTAGTGGACTTAAAAACAAACTTTTAATTATAAAATATAATTGATATAATTGGAACTACAAAAACAAGGTATGTAGTAAATTAAAAAAAATATTCTACTTGCTTTTAGGGTTTAGTGTCCTTTCAATACTTTCTATAAATGATTGCTTTGATTTTTTTAAATTGTTGTTGTTTGCTTTTTGTTTTGTTTCGCATTCTTATCAATTAAACTTGCTCCTTCCAAAAATGAATGAAGGTAGGCTAAAAATATTGAATCCTTATTAGATTTTTTTTAAAAATAACCTGGGCTATAAACCAAACGAAATGTGCGTAGAAAGATAATATATATCTCTTAACTTGTACTTTCTTAAAAACTGAAAATATATTTCATAAAAAGGCACGAACTGCAAACAATTTTACGAAAATGCGTTTTGTAATACAGAATGTTTGTTTAAGAAAAAAGAACCTTTTTGCCTTAAATATACACAGTATGCGGGTTACCGCTGTTTGTCAAACTCCTAACAAAATAAAAGTCAATAAAGAAACCACAAACATTACTACAAAAATTTAAGTGAACCTCACAAACGACCCAGTTAAGAAAATTCCTGTGCTTAAGGAATGAAGAACAATACACAACAGTACGTGCAAATGTACATGCATACTTCGTTACACTCAAACTCTGCTTTTACTCAACATGAGTGCAAATCGCACTCATACGCACATTAAAAGTACAAAAAACAAAAAAAAACAATTTTTATATATGTTAAGTAATTCCTGCAGGTGGCTTTGATGTTTTTAATGACATATTAGAGCAAAATATATGCAATTAAATTATTACATTGTTGTTGCTTTATGACAGTTGAAAAATGTAACGAAAAGGAAGTAAAAACGAAAGCAAGAGTTAATTAAGAATTATTTTTTTAAGCTGCGTTTGAAGTGTAAACTATTTTGTGCATTATATTATTTCTTTCAACAGTAAAGTGCCGGCATTAGAGTAAAACATTTTTATAAGTATTATAATAATTTATTATAATGGCCAACGTTTGCCATTAGTCTACTCAGCGATGGGGTGAGCTGTGGTGCCTTATTTGCCACTTGTTGGATTTGTGTCCAAAATGTTAGCCTGGAATCCAGTTTTAGTTCTAACTATTTTATTACTTTTTTGGTATAGAATCTGTCTTCACATACGTTCATCGCGACTTCTAGCGAAGTCGTCTTCTTGGTTGCAAGTTTAAGGTCATGATCATCAACCCAGATCTTTGTTCTCAGCATAACTTAAGTTGATTTGTGATGCGCTTCATCTAAATTACGTACGGTTATCACTGTAGCTATATCGACAGCAACAGCGAATAAGTGTGAGTCGTCCGGCATATTTATTTCTAGAATTCCGTTGTAATTTAGGTTCTAAAGATCCTATCTAAGTATAGTTCCTTGGACGCGTTGAAAATCTCTTCCGTTCCGTTTTCTGCCGCATTGAAATCCCTTTAATTACTTCTTTCATTTTTAATGTTTTTAATCAATATCATCATTTATGACTTATATTGTTCGTATTTGTTATATCACATATGTATAATAATAATAATATTTATAATATATATGAATATATTTCGCAAATACTACAAATTTATATAATTTAAATGCAAATAATTTTTTTACGACTTATTTTACTATACTTTATATAAATAAAATTAAATTTTAACTACTTTAAAGAATAAAACAATATACATTTAATATATCTAATATTGTATTTAACGAAATAAAGTGTTTTTTTTAACTTAATTTCAGTTTGTTTTTGTTTACATATTTGTTTAATAAAAATCAAAAACAAATAACAAATTGTCTAATTATCATAACAAATAAAAACACACCATTCCAGTTATTAAAATTTGAATTGACATTCGGCGAATAATGCCATTCCACACGTGTTCTTAAAACATTAAAAAAAAACAAATCGTTCGCAACATTATCTATATCCATTTCTTTCTTAAATTGTTTTTATAACAGAAGAACGTAAGAATGTATATAATATACAATAACAATATATGTATATACTTGAATATATTATGCAATAAACCTATGTGCTATATTTAAACAAAGTATTAATTAGCTCTAGTATGATATTGATTATATCGATCTTAAAACCGGTATTGTCAAGGTATAACATATGATAATTGTTATTGCGAAAAAATTCAAAAAAAAAAAAAATAAATAATAATTAAATTAAAAAACAAATATATTCTAATTATAAATTAATTTATAATACGTTTCTTTGAAGAAAAACTACCTTTTATGATCAATGCAATCAAAACAATAAAATGTTATCTTTGGCTTCTATAATCTTCGTAGATGGTATATAATTATATCTACAAAATTCTATAATTCTAAAGATTTGGAAATCTTAATTTTCTATAAGATTTAAGTTAAACACAGTTCCTAAGTTCCTTCGTTCCAAGTTTTTCTTTTATCACGTACCGTTCTTCTGTTAGTGCCCTTTAAAGCGAGGTACTTATTTTTTTTTTTAAGAAAA